ACTCAATTACATCGAACCACAGACATTCAATTGAGCAACCATATGCAGCTTAAGCAAAAGGCAAACAATGCGCTCTCCGCATTGGGGCAACTGCAGCAGTTGTTCCATTGAAATGCCTGCGGGACTTTTCAATAAATTCTCCATTGGCATTTGGAAATTTGATCAAAACAGCAGCACGTAAAACTATTTGAACTGCTAACCCAAATAATCCCGGCCTCCCGGACATGTAAAAACTCCATCTATTTTCCCTCCCACTTCGGCAATCCTTTTCCAGCTTTCGCGCCAATGAACTGTGCGGAATCAATAGATGCAATTCAAGTTGCTGCTGCTGCTGCTGCTGCTGCAGTTGTTGCCGGTGCAGCTACAAGATACTTTCTGTGCAACCATAGAACTTCCCACATGCCCCAGCGGAATGCCATGGAATGTGCACACACGCATCTTCGACTGCCATCCGATCTCCTCAGCCTCTAACCATTATTTCTTCTTTTTCATCTTCTCCTCCGCAAACTTGTGGTGGGAGTACCGTTCCCCCTACTCGTTCCTGCCCCAATGTTGCATGGCAGGAGCTTACATTTATGCGCGAAATTGTCGTATGCATTTGCACATTCATAAATTCTCGTTGAGCGCCCCCAAAGCGACAGCCAAGCGGGCCCAAAAGAATGTTCTCTAAGACACTAAGAGAAAGTTGAACTTAAAATATGGCAAGAAATAAATTTAAAATTTCATTTAAAATATAGATCAATTTACTTATAGTTTAACATCTTTTAAGTAGCATTCTTTTGTAATATATTACTTATCTTCTTAGTTACAAATGTTAATGGTATAGGAAAGCATTAAACAATTACACTTTTCATGAGAACCTTTTTATATTTCTCTGTCTGCACTATTATATAGTTGAGGGGCAGGGATCCGCTGGTTCGTAGATAGTTGGCAGCCTGTTCTCCTTGCTCCTCTCTCAGCTGATGCTGCTCGCTCGTGCGGCATTTAAATTTCATTTTTAATTTTCTTTATTTTTTTTGACTAGCAATTTCTCGTATTTTTTCCCCTCCATACACTGCATCTTCCTGCTGCAGGCACATTTTATTATTGCATTTTACAACAACGCGGGGCAACCTTAGAGGAGCACGTCATTAGGCGATAAATTATCTCGTGCGCGCTGCATTTTGCATAAAATGTTGCCGCTGCCTTTTTGGATTTGGAGCGGTAAAAGTGTGCCACGTTGCAGCTGTGCAGCGGTAGTAGCAGCGGCAGTGGCAGCGGCATTAAAGGATGCTAGGCAATTTGAATTTGTGAAATTCCATGGAGAGCCCACAGACCCAGGCCCAATCCCAATCCAAACAGTTGCCGTTAGTTGGTGGAGACCGAGGTGGCCATGGGAGGCCGTGGAGGCCGTGGAGGCCGGCTTATCTATGCACAAGATGTTGCCGTTTTGATAAGCTCGGCGCAGCAGCCGGCAATTTATGTGCCGCTGCTGCAGCATTTGCGCGCTTCTGCTGCAGTCGATGATGAATGCAACTGCATCAGGAGCACCAAAATCAGCAGCAGCAACATCAGCAGCAGCAGCAGCAACAGTTTCTGCTTGGAATGCATTGCGGCGACGTGCGTTCAACTATGCAAATTTGTGCAACAGCGCCCAGTTCCCCTTCGACTTGGTCTTGGTCTTGGACTTCCTCCCGCCGAAGAACCCATCTATTGACTTGCAACTTGCTGCAACTTAGTAAGTGCAGATGGTAGCGCATATACATATACAACGGAGACTTGTCAAACAGCATTCAAGCACGATTCTGGGAAACATTCCTCTCCGCTGAGTAGACTGGGAAGACTTATGCATTGCTTTGGCATTGCCTTTCGACAACGATGCGATGCAAGACAGATTTTAATACAAATGAGCTGAAATTACATAGGGTTCTCTATGCATACACAGAGAGAATATACATCATCAACATAGAAGCTTATCTCTACTTCTTTAAGATTATTTAAGGCAAGATAAAGTTTTCACTGTGTAAGAGGGGAGCGTATAAAGTGTTGTCTGGATGAAAGCTGAATGTCATGACAGTTCAATCACCGAGATTGTTGATCTAGATGCAGCTGAGTTGAGTTATGGCCAGCGATGATGGAAAATCTCGATACTGCCGAAGTTAGCTGCTTCTGCAATTTTGCAATTTGCACTTGAAGGGGTGAGCTCTGATCTAAACACAATTGATAGCCAGCCAAGTGGTTTAGAAAGCCGCGGAATAGTTTCAATTGGAAGTGAATGTCAACTGCATTAAATAGATGCCTCGGCACAGCAATTAATCTGCAAAGCTTAACGATTCCCGGCGACTTTCAGCTGCTAACGACTTCCGAGGACGTGGGTAATGCCACTGTCGCTGACATTTCCCACTCCCGCTAAAAACCCCACAACAGGCGATGACAAATGGCACCGGTGTGCAAGGTGTGCAGCGGATGACAAAAAAATCGCTGAACTTTGACTCTCTAAGACCCCTGTCCCTTTCCTCACCCCATCGTTAGCGGCGGAGTAGTTGGCGAAGTGCAATTAAACGCCCCGCCAGTGAAACAATTACGCTATAACAATTACGCCCTGGTTGCACATGCAACTGCTACTGCAAAATGCAACTGCACTGGACGAAAAAATATAGGGTCTAACAAGGTGGAGTTGTCATGGAAATCAAATGAGAATCTTGTAGATATTTATGGGACTGTAAAATAACTAACCGACTTACTGAAAGCCTATCATCTATATATATCACAATCAGTTTAAGATAGATTAAGACCAATATTTTTCCCTGTGCTGCCACAGCTGCTCCCTCCCCTTGGTTCAATCTTTCTGCAGTGTGTTTGTAAATTTGCCGCACTTAGTGAGGAGCTGACGTGGCAGTGGCAGTGGCAGTGTCCGTCGAAGGCATTTCCATGCGTCAAATTGCCGCCAGGGCATTGCGTGTAATTACTGCAATAAAAATCGCAACACATTGCGTACGAACATGCAACATTGAATTCCACAAACAACAGCAAAGAGCTTTAAGATACATCCATCGGGGAGAGCAGCATGATGTTCAGCAATTATCTAATTTATAGAGACCATTTATCAAAAGCGAAACAAATATTCAGTTTCCAAGCTCTGTTAAAAAGAGAACCCGACTTTGCCGCAATTTGTGACTGACTAACGAGCACTCAGCACATTCAGTCAGCAAAGCATTTGGCATGCGGCGGCATTGGCAACAGCCGAGTGCACTTGGCCACTTGGGTGGCCAACTGATTGGAGCAGCAGCAGCAGTTCCACTTGCTAACTTGGCTGCGTGGGCGGAATGGGTTTTGGTTTTGGTTTAGGTTCTACTAGGGCTTGGAGGACGTCCGTCGCCGAGCGGAACGCAAGCTGATTGCATTTTTAGCATAAATTTCAACGCATTTGACTAATGTCCCGACATTTGTTAGGGGCCAAGCTCTCTCCTCACTTGGCCATTTCTCACCGGAGGCAAGTGCTCCTCTGCCATTATCATTTCCACTGCTGGCTACTTACTACCTACTCCTCGTAGGGGACGGCTAATAGATAATGTTGATGGCTGATGGACGACTTTCGACAAAGTCGTATGCAAATTCAAGCTTTTGCTGCTGCCCGCTGGCCATGTAATTGTTTCAACTGCTTAATATCACGTATACGCACTGTCGGCCAGAGACAAAAGTCGGACGAGAGCTGCAGTTTGCCGCTGCCATTGCAGTGAGGAGGGGCGGGGGAGGAGGGGACATGGCCGCGTCAACAGCAGAACGGCAGCAGAAAAATTAATTAACACGCCAAGTCTGCCTGGACACGCCTGCAGCACGTACCGGACAATCGGGCTCGGAGTACACGGACTCGGCGAACTCGGGACCAGACTGGAGCCAGGGAGTCAGAGAATCACAGCCAGAGGCAGTGCCCAAAACTACACTTGAAGGAATAATGTTATACCAATCATAGAGAAGAATTATTGTTACAGTCAGTAAGGGAAATGATTGTAATATTTAATACCCTTCCAGGGTATTATTACTTTAGTCAGAAGCTTGTTACGATGTGAAGAAGTCATTTCTGAGTCTATAAATTATATATATTCTTGATCAGCATCGATAGGCGAATCGATTTAGATATGTTTGGCCATAATTTAATTTTTTCAAAATTTTGAAAATTTTATATTTCATTAAAATTCTCAAAAATTGACAAAAAATGATATTTTGTAAAACGTTAAATTGAGTATGCAGTTTTATTAACCTAACAAAAACTAGCACTGAGATGCTTTCCGATTTAAAATTAATGCTTTTTTGACTTAGTTATGAGATTTATAACTATAATTTGTCTATACAAATTGTCATATTGAGACATTGATAAATATCGATTTAAAGAATGTGGATATTTTAAAAATAATTTAAATTAAATATAATTAAAAATTTATTTACTTTTTTCAATTCGTAAATAATATAATTTAATGTCAGTCTGTTTTTATTTAATAGAAATTTCAATCTTAATGCGAATCTGTGTTGTATAAATTCTTCTTCTTTTTTTAAGGTGAATGACATTCATAAATCTATTGGGGTATATAAAATGTGTTATTAGTAGTTACCAATAGTATTTATAGAATTTATCATGACTTTTTCCCCAGTGGAAAAGCAAACCCTAAGCCCAGCACGGCTCCGTTGTTTGGCATTTTCTATTTCTCAGATTTTTTCTGTGTGCTCTGGGTATTTATGGGCATTGCAGTAAAAACCTCGATGCAATTGTGGGCGGTCAGGGGATACTGTGGGGCGGTGTTAAGTGAAAAGCGTGAAATTTATAACAGCCAATAGATTAAGCTAGAATATAAATAACATTTTCCATGCACCAGTCTTTTTTTCCCAGTTTTTTTTTGTCCTGAGTCCGCCTTTGGTCTATTGTCTTTCTCTCTGGGCAAATGGGCGGAGGATTATTGGAACCAATAATTTAGCCGCGTCGCGCCAAGAGCAGATTCTTAATCAATTGTGGTTTCTTTTTGCAGTTGCCGCCGTCAGCCAACCGAAGAACTCAACCGCACTCAAGCCGTATCTGCAGATCCAAAAGCACGCCGTCACCAAACTGACCATCAGCAAGCCCCACTCCTCCTACTATCTGCCATGCATCCCCATCCTAAATCCCTACAACTACGAGCAGGGTGAGTAGCAGAAAATATCTTGGGGATATTCAATGTGGGAATACTTATGTCCATCCTTCCGTCTGCAGACAACCAACCCATCTACTGCAGTTGGTATCGGAATGACGTGGCTGTCGAGCAACTGTCTCTTCGCAAGAATGACTTCTTCATCTATGAGAATGGAACACTGCGTCTGCCCACCAATGAGAAGGCCAGTGGAGTCTATCACTGCAAGATCGAGTGGGATGAGTCGGCGGTAATATCTGATCGGATCACTGTTGAGTATCCAGGTGAGTTGACAGCATACCTGCCTATGAAAATATGTTACCAAAAGGGAAACTCCTCAAATCCTATGATAATCCTATTTTCCAGTTCTCAAGCGCCTTTTTCCGGGTCAGCAGCAAACGGCCAACATAAGTGCCGTGGAGCACAAACCCCTTGTGCTAAACTGTCCCTTCCTTAGTGTTCCATCAGCCAAGATTAGCTGGTACTTTGGCAACGATTCCCTGGCCAATGACAACAGGCGAGTAAAGATCGGTGTTGAAGCATCGAGCGGGCCTAGACTTGTGTACAATATGCAAAGCTAGCTAGCCAGCTGGATGGGTTGACCAATGCATTTTGAGTTTTATGCTCTATAAATTGGGGTCGAAAATAATAAATAAACCTTATGTTTTAATTACAGTGCTCTCATTTTGTCAAATGGCACTTTGGTGTTGCGGCATTTGCGCCTGGAACAGGCTGGTAAATACAAGTAAGTACAGAATAGTGTTGGGAATGCTTAAGATCTCTGAGCATAAAAGCTTAATATTCATTTAATAATGTGCTAAACCATCCTCTTAACATTATTAATAAGCAATATAAATTACATGTTAAGTTTCCACATTTCCCTGATGCAATTACAACTGATTGCCATGTGTATTTCCCCTGAACTCTCTGTCCATTTTGAACTAAATCAAGACTGGCGGCAATTTTCCATTTGGCTGATGCCTTGTGTGCCTTTGCTTCCAGTTCCCAGTGCAAATGTAGTGCTGCCTCCCCCCTAACCCCTCTTTTGTGGCAAAATCAACACCTTTAGCGGCACTTCATCAAACCCACTCCTATGCACACACGCACCGCTCGCACCGGCTTATGCCCTTAAACAATGCATTAATTAACACTTGGCGGCGGCCGAGCGGCTGCTGTAATTGTGGCCATTGTCCATGTCAATTAGTGTTGCAAACCACTGACCATTATCCGTTGCTTGTTGCCCATTAACCATTATTCCCCGTTTGCAGATGCTTGGCCCAGAACGTGTTCGCCGGCAAGATACACCGCCAGTTCGTCTGGCAGCTGCGCGTGGAGCCCAGTGGCGGGACCTTCTATACGGATAACCAGGTGGGTGGTTCGGAAACGTCCGTTTCGGAGACCCAACTCCTGCCGGCCTTCCAGAATGCCACCGTCTACGTGCCGTCCGGCGGATCCGTGCTGCTGCAGTGTCATGCAGTTGCGGATTTTGTGCCCATCGAATGGTACTTGCTGTATCCAAATAACACAGTCGTCTTGCTAAATAATAACAGCGTGGCGTTGTCCATCACCAATGCGAGTAGGTTGCAGCACGAGGGGCAGTACAAGTGCAGGACACCGCTGGAGACGCAAACGTTCCACGTGATCGTGACCAGTCCACCGCGAATTGTGAACGGTCTGCCCGTGGAGCTGGTGTACATCAGTCTGTCGAAGACGTTGAGCTGCCGTGCGGAGGGTAATCCGGAGCCAACTATCAGCTGGTATCATAATGGTGCCCCATTGAATAGCTCTTACACCCGGTACATCAATGGGAATGAGCTGCAGATACACTCTTTTGATCCCGAGGAAGAGGGTATATACCAGTGTGTGGCCCGGAATGTGGCTGGCGAGGATTCGGCCACCGGTGAGCTGCGTTTCAAGCATCAAATGGAGCATGTCAATATGCTGCAGAATATACGCTGCTATCCGCACAGCTTTCATACCATCAACATCACCTTCGACAGCCGAATGCTGGAGTCCATGTTTGTGGTGTATATTGTGCGCAGTAATCCCCATAGCTGGACCTCCTTTGCACCCATGAAACTCAATCAGACTTCGTATGTGGTGATATCCACCAATCTGCCGGTGTATCAGCCTTTTGCTCTGATCACTCGCTTCCTGTACCCCATAACGGAGGTGAGGAGTGGCACCTTGGTGCCGCAGCAGATGATTCTCAGCTCAAATCGCAGTCCACCGGTCACCTGCTGCACCCAGGGATGTGAGTATTTTGTAACTAAATCTTACTTAGAGATAACAAACCCTTAATATTATTTAACCTGCTTTACAGTGATGCTGCGACCCATTGCCGTGGGCAACGATACTTTTGTGAAATGGTCGCAGGGTCAGTTGGAGAACAAGAAGTACTTCATCTTGCAGTTCTCCATCAATCACACGAATCCCCATCCGGAGCAGCTGCTCAATGGTTCGCTATATGGCACCCTATCACCCGTGGAGGAGAAGGCCGACGAGGTTCGTCGCCATCTGACCATAATCCAGCCCCTGAATCAAACAGCTGCTGCCACTGTGCTCCGGAATGCTGAACATGAGCAGGACACCGAGAATGATGAGATGACCCTCGAGCTGGAGGATGACATCTTTAGCTTGGTGGTGGATGCCAGTGTGACGGGGGTGCTGCTGCAGCGCTTCACGCGGATCAAGATGCGAGTGCTGATCATCACCAGCGAGAACGAGTTCCTGGGTCAGGACTTTCGCTACGTCCAGTGGAAGATTGTGAGTAGACTGTACTGTAGGATCATTGCTTTTTTAGTTTACCTATAGAGGATTACCGAAGTCTAGAAATGATACTAAAGCTCAGATATAATCGATTTTCCTTGCAGATCGAGAATGGTACCTCGGAGCAGGCGAATATGCCCTTTCGCCTGGTCACCATTGAGTCGCGGGCGCTGGCCTTCAAGTTCCTGGACAGCCTGAATGAGACCTGTGTGGTGGAGTGCCACATGGTAATCCCGATGCCGTTTCCCAATCAGGAACCAAAGTGCCAGGAGCGCAACATTTCCAACTCCATGCTGCTGGTGACCGGACTCATGGCGGATAATCGTTACAATTTGCATTTTTACAACTGCAGGACACGCATCTTTTACGGGGAAATAGATGTTAAGACGGAGCAGGACCGTAAGATCTGGTTATTGGTTACTAAATGGTTTCCTTCACTTAATCTATGTACTGTTCTTGCAGCTCCCGGGACCATTAGCAATTCAAAACTAATCAAGCAGAATGGCCTAAAGCTAATGTGGGAGCCACCATTAAATCCCAATGGACGAGTCCATCACTATGACATCAGATGGACCCTGGACAATGTCACCCACGAGGCTATAGTTAAGGAGTGCAGATCCTGCTCTTACAAGGTGAGTAATTAAGCTTTTTCGACTTAGCTATTATCTTATTAAGGTGATATCATCCTATTCTTATACTTATTACTTATCCCACATTGTCCTTGCAGTTTCCCAACGTTTCAGAGACTGCCAAAATCCATGTGGCTGTTCGCGTCATGGGCGACACGGGTGCCGGCGCCCCGATGTACTTTGACATGGCAAATAATAACCACAGTCTGCTTGAAATGGACACCGAGTCATCGCGCTCGGAGGTATACAGCGGCATTGCCATCGGCTCGCTGCTCTCCATCGCCTGTGTCCTGCTCTTTGGGCTTTTCATCATTTTCCAGCAGCGGCGCTTCAAGGCTCGAGCCCCAGGGCCCGCCCATTTGACAACGCCCACGGACATCACTTTCGGTAATCTGAGCAGTGCCTCAGGAATGCCCGGCGACAGTGCCGGCGGCCTGAGTGGCGGCACCTTGCAGCAGGATTGCCACGAGATGCAAACACTGATTCCGCGGTCGCGCTACCACATCGAGTTGCTGCCGGAGCACACGGGTCTGGAGTATCAGACCAGTTCGGCTGCTGCTGCTGCTGCTGCGGTTGTCCATCTGGCCAATGGCAATGGCAGTGTTCAGGTGGCGAGGCGTGCGGATCTGGATGGAGTTCAGGCTGATCTGAGCATAGCCGGCGTTCACAACCTGTCGCAGTTGCCGCTGTGCGCCGTAGGGACATCGCCGGAGCGCAAGACCGTGCATGATGCCATGCTGCTGGAGGCCAAGGCATTCTATATACCCTACCGCCACACGCCACCCAATGCGGTGGCTCTGAGTAGCAGCACCAAGCAGTGTCCGGCTAATAGCTCCGAGTTGGAGGTGATTGTGCCACCCAACTCCTTGCCACTGGTCAGCACCATGGCAGGTTTGGGTGGCAACGGCGGAGGCGGAGTAGGAGCTGGAGGGGCAGGAGGAACAGGCTCAGCCCGACGCAGTGGAAGCCTGAGCAGCAGCAGTGCCAGCAGCAGCAGCAATGGTAGCAGCAAAAAGCAGTTTCACACAAACTTTGTGCGCCACTCGAATTCCAACGATGGGATTTGCCTGCTGGCCGAGGAGGAGGCGGCCGCCACCCTGACACCCACCTCGGAGCGTGAATATGCGGCCGTGTGTCTAACCAACGGTTTCAAGCTGCCCGCCGACGTGGCCAAGTCGGGTAGCTATAGTACCAACAACAATAACAGCAGCAGCAACACCAGCAACGGCAGCCATCTCAGCCAGAAGTCAGGAGGTGTCTCTGCCTCTGTTCCTGGCACAGTCACTGCCACTGCCACTGCCACAGTCACAGCCACTGCCGGTGTTAAAGCACCAACAACCACCGCCACCAAGGATCGCCAGCCGCGTGGCAATGGCAATCCGATCTCGTTCAGCCACAATGCATCCATAGTTCCTGCCAACGGACCAGCCTCCGTTAACCACACGTCAGCAGTCAAGCAGTCGTGGCCGGCGGCGACAGTGGTCCATCGCCGGGCCCAGGTGGATCCCAATGGGTGAAGCAACCAGTATTTATACCTAGCTACTACCACATAGAAGCAAAGAAAGCAAAACGAAGGGAAAGATTACATAAGTAAAACACATTCACAGCTCGAAACATTCCAAAAGAATATATGAATAGATACGGATAGAAGGATCACTAAGCGTGATGATGATTTAGCATTTATAAAGAGTACATTTTATAAATGTAAATATTTAGTAACTGAAACTATGGAACTATGGGAGAAATGATTAATTAAGCTGATATTTATACACACACACCCACACACACACAGAGACAGACAGACACACATACACAGAGTGTCTGCATGGAACGGAAGTAGACGCTAAGTTCTATGCTATAGTTTTTCGCCTTTCTACATTTCTTACACCGTATTATTGTAATTGTTTAGTTTTTGTTTGTTTTTTCGTTAATTGAGGCTAATTTTTTACACGTACGTGTATGCATAATTTATTGTTGCTTGTCGATGCAGAACAGCATAAACATAAACATAGACATAGACATAAACATATAAGCATTTTGCACCGCGCAGCCCGCAGCCCGCAAGTATGTATTACATACATTTGTCGCCCGATAATTACTGCGTTTAACAACTGCATCGAATTCAATTACACTCTCATACATAGTAGGCAATACGTAAACAGAAGAGCCAAAAAACCACACACACACACACACACACCCTGCAATAGCCCAGAGAAAGCCACAACCACAGCCACCACACACCCACTCAAATACCACTCGACCGCAATAGTCACAAGTGTTCACATATCGATTCCGATTTAAAACGTAATATACATATATTCAATAATATTTGTAATTTTATTTTATTCTATTTATATTCCCGTATATGTAATTTGTATTTGTATTTGCAGAGTTTTTTTAAACTAAATGTTTAATTTCCGCATATTTACTGCTGCATTTTGTTTTGTTTATAAAACCGATATATCAAATGTACCTGATTATATTCATTTTGCATTCTTGTTTATGTGCTCTCGCTCTCACACCCCGACACACACCACACACACTCGCACACATTTACCCAAATATATTGCATAAAACTATAATAAGCCACAAAATCCGTAAAATCGCATAGCAAAACCTACCTTATTGTATATTAAATTCAGCAACAGTACCTCCTACAAATCGACAAAAAAAGAATAAACCTGTAGCTACGCCAAAAAGCACATACGCCCAGATCCCTGCTCCTGTTGCTGCTCCTGGTCCTGGTATTATTTTTGACAGGACTGGAGGACAGCTGGGAAGCTAAAGTAGCCAACAAACAAAGAGCATCAGCAAGTAGCTACCTGCTAGGAATTTGTGTGAATTGTTGTTCAGTGTGAAACGAGATGCGATTATTGTTACGAGAGACACACACCGAGACCCAAACCCAAAACCCAAATATAGTCGAAACATTCCACAGAGACACAGTATGCATAGCTCAGATACAAAAAACACACAGACACAGACACTCATTCACAAGGACACACAGGAGGAAGAGGTCTATCTCGAATTGGAGACAAGTTTTACGAAATTATATATGTATGAAATCATAAATTCGATGTGAACGATGAGAAATGTGTTTGAAAACAACAAAAAATATATGTAACTGTAACTGTATACGTATTTAGAGTCTAAGTGCAATACCAACAAATAATAAAATAGCAAAAAGGTAACCTTTAAGTCCGCCCCCGACTCCAGGAGGCAGAACAGAAATCGACAAAACTATATAAACAATAGTACCTTCCCACTCAAGCAGAAGCAACGTTCAAAGTAGTCTCACGTCTCGAGCCCAGTTAGTGTTGCGAACTCTCCAAGCCCAAAACCAAGACCATCAGTAAATAAACAATCTCTAATTTGTGTTCAAGCTGAATAAGCGCAATTCACCGAGAGGAGAGAGAGAGAGTAGTCGTCGATGTATAGACGAATAATTTTACAATTTACAAAACCAATTGTGTCACAGCAAAGCCACAAAATGAACTTTAACCTACGAAAAGCATTTAAGCAAATCGCAAAAATATATTCCGAACGAACAACTCAAAATTCCTAGTAAAGAAAAAGAATGAACATTTTAAACGTTACAAGAAATTATGAATACATACAACAACAAAAATTAACTAAAAACACTATTATATGCAGCAAAAGGCAACAAAAAAAATTTATGTACTAAAGTTATATAATTAGGCATAAGAAATCCATATTAATGTACGTGTTTGGAAAAAGGGAAATGGAAAAACAAAATGAAAATGGAGGAGTAATGAAGGCATGAAGAAATTAAGTAAAATAGCTGCGATTGTGATCGCCGTGTAAGTGGATGTGATAAATGTTTAAATTATTTAAGCGCAAAAACAATAAAGAGATAATGAAATTAAGAATTAGGATGACATAGAAACGCGTATTGCGACTTTTGCAACGGTTTTTGGCCAACGGAAACCACTCAATAACTAAGAGTCCACTAAAATTATAAGCAAACAATTATTATGTTCTTATCTTTCGGCGATAATGCTGCTCCTAGCACTCTCTACTAAGTATATCTTTATTATTTTTGTTAATTTTAGTTTGCAATTAAGTCCACGTTTTGTATACCTCATTAGTAGAGTGGCAAACAAAATACTAAATTTTGTAACCATATTTAGGCTTGGTTTCCTCGTTTTACATTCACAATGGCATATTTGAACAAACGAAACAAACAAAAAAAAAAAAACTAATGTATTTTTTATGCAATTTATAAGCATTGTATATGCGGACGAAATTAATTATTTGAAGCAACTAAGCTGCCAACGGTTCGTGTTAAAGATTTCGAAGCAAGTATAAATTGGCAAATCCATCAGAAGATAAGGCCAAAGGTAATGGAACCCTTGGCCTGGCTAAAAAGAGTCTAAGGAAAACTGTAAGAGCGCTCGGTGTTTGTTTAGAGAATACAGATGAAGATATGGCAAAGAAGAAATGAATGCAACCTTAACTATTGGGAAAATATACTACAAATAAGTTATGATGAAAAACTTACAAACACTTGTGTTTTATTTACTTGGCCACAATCCCAAACATTTCCACCCCATGCACAGTCACAGGCAATTTTATAATATACAATTGCATTTTTTTTTATTAGTTTTTGGAAATTTAGAACTTATTAATTAGGTATAAAACATCGACCGGTTAAATTACTGGAAACTTTCATATGTATGCATCAATTTGTTGTATTCGTTGGTAACGTTTTACAGCGGTGTAGGTTTCGGTTTATACATAAATGAAAGACATTCATAGAACTATCAAACGCTAAATATACAAGTAACTTATATATGGTACAATATCAATAACGTATTCACGGGTGGTTGGTTGGGGGTACATCACAACAAAGTGCTTCGACATGATCACAAACGATCACAAAAAATTGCAAAATTATCATTGGACGCCCGAAGATGGCATAGGGTCAGGCACCTCTGCCTTCCCTTCTTTCAGAGGCTTAAACTAGAGACAAAGAGTGTGTTTATGTGTCTAAATGACTAACTTGAGCTATAAGCTATGGATAAGCGAATTAAAAGGTAATGAAACAAGTATGCTATGCACTATTTAAACAACAAGCGACGCTCTATTATTAAGCATTTAGGTACGCGTAATTATAATGACACCTCTGAGTTGCCAGTTTCTATTCACAATTCGGTTTCAAATAGATCAGGTCCTAATACAATATACTTCGTCATTGCATTTTAGTTCCACTGAAAGCTCAGCTTAGCACACCTTCTCAATCATTTTCACCAGTTCTTTGTACAATATACAATCCCTTCCGCGGGGCTTGCAGATTTCGCGATGATCAAGGCGAATGCCGCAGACATCGCCAATGCCAGGATCTGTTGGGGAAAACCATATTAATTAATGGGTCACTTTAAAGGTAATTAATTAAGCACCCACCTGCCGAATCCACACCCACAATGCGCAGGTATAACACTGACATGAGCGTCAATGCAGTCTCCACAAAGCTAAAGACCTCAATCTTTAGGTGACCCAGGTGATATAGACCCGCAAAGCGCCTATGAAGGTCCAGCAGGTACTTGTTGTCTTTGAAGATTATAAATTAATTAAAGCTTTAGGCATCTTAAATCCCTCTTGTTAGCTTACTTTTCTCAATCTCCAGTAGCTCCACAGATCGCGTGAGCAGCGGCGCCTTAATGCTGGCCAGGTGGGAACCTCGATGCGGCACCGAATAGAAGAAACAGCCGCGGGCGGACCTCCACAGTGGAGTCATTGCCGGACGACCGCATTCCCAGGCATCCACAATCAACTGTTTGATAAACAGACCACCCTTTGAGTGGCCCACATAGATGATCGGGTGGCCATGTCCCACGCGTTGCTGGATGAGCAACTCGGCCATCTCCCGGGAGCGTTGGATGAGGCTGGAGCGTGGCTCCTTGCTCTTCCACAGCGGACGCCACAGGTACTGATCGGTGGTATAGTTGACGGCAATCACCCGCACTCCAGGACAGTCCAGCGGGAGCCAGTCGCCTGGCCAGCATTTGGAGTAATTGGGATCATCAGGAGAGGGCTTGTTCCGGCGTCCAGACTTCCGCGGCGTCCCGGGTGAGGTGGGACGAGGACGAGAGCCCTGGCTACCATTGGCAGCCGCTTCGCTGCCATCTGCCTGCAGCATGGACTCTAGCTCGGCCGGAAGGAGTCGACTGTTGTCGTGCATCCGCAGCCGGAACGTGGGGAAGCTGTACTCGATGCCCTCACAGATCTGGATATCCTCTGGATCACCGCACACATATGCATAGCTGAGGAATGGAGAATAGAAGTTAGTGGAATGTTAAGAGCATTAATTTTGCATACAACTTACTCCTCGCCATCATCGCTGTCGGAAGCATTAAGTTGGAAGTCAGGTTGCATTGCAACGGATCGCTGCAGTCGCGTCCGCTGACGCACTGGAGCATCATCGTTGGTGTCCACATAGCGGTTAAGGGAGGCGAACTTGGCCCGCTTCTCCCGGGGAGCCGGATGAATGGCCGCGCTGCGGGAATGACGCGGACGCTTGGGCGGCCTTACCGGTGGCCTTGGCGGCCTCTCGAACTCCACCGGCTTACGATCATTTTGCCAAAGTCCCTGCTTCCATGTATTTACAAGGGAACCATGCAGTCCGTGGATAAGCACAATGTCCGCCCGGATGGGCTGACCCGGCGGGGGCTCGGCCAGAATGTTGAGGGTACAACAGCTGGGGGCATCCGAGCGAACGCTGTAAAGGGGCGGACCCTGCAACGGACTGCTGGGAGTGCAGGGTGTCGAGGGTGCACTTAGGGTATCCGGAAGACTCTCAAGGCCATCCTGCGACTTGCGCATCTTTAGAAGTTTCAGTAGCGGTCCCATGCGGTTAGAAACTATATAAAATGCAACTATATTTAGACCTCCGAACTTTGACATACTTAAGAGTATTTATAGAGCGCGAGACTTACCCTGAACCGAGGACAGATTCAGTGAGATAGTGTTGGCCGCAAAGGCCACCAGATTGGTAAGAGCCTGTCTGCTGGAGGCCAGGTTTTGGAGCACTCTCAGCACGCGGACATCGCGAATGCCCTTGATACCCCTGGCCACACCGTTAGCCAGCGGAAGGACCAGTCGCACCAGGATGCCGAAGACCACACGCATGCTGCCACCATTCTTGCTATCTCTGAAGGAGATTGGGTTAGCTGAGGATAAGGGAAGGTAGAATAATCAAACTTACGCCTCCATGAGAGCACCTGCACTGCTGGATCGCACCAGATCGCTGACCGCTTGCTCCTCCTCCTGACGATCGATCTCCACCTCGTTTCCATTATCATTCTCATTTTCATTCTCATTGTTTGTACTTGCATTGTCGTCCACCAGCTCCGATGGCTGTGAGTCATCTGCTGGCGCATTGTGTGTCATCTCCTCTCCGCCAATTCGCATCATTGCAATGTCGCAGACGTAATGTTCATCGATTTCCTGCAACGGTGAGTCGCAGCTGGGGCTTCTGTTTCTATTTCCGTTTCCGTTTCGGTTATTGTTTTTCAGATTCAGGTTGGCTTCCGTGGCGTCATCTTCCTCGATGGGGTTGCCCTCACAGGCCATACGTTCTTGACTTGGCTCAGATCCTTTGGCGAACATTTCCCAACTTCCTACTGCCCCGGGAGTTAATTAATTCGGAACCACCATGCTGCAGTTGACTCTATCTGGAAGTTTAAGAAAGAATTTGGTAGTTAATCATATGCTAGCCACTGGCGGATGCAATTTGTCAATGTCACTGATGGCCACTGGGCTAAAAACAATGCAGTCAGGAGCTGTCTCTTTCTCTTTCTCTCTCTCTCTGTGGGTCACTTGCTGAAGGGAAATTCAAACTGGCGGACTAAAAATAAATATTCACTTGGCGCTTGCAATAAATTACTTAAACGACACGTGGGCCAAGAGTGCTTATAAACTTTGAACTTTTGTTCATATGGTAAATAGGGTGAAAGTTAAAGAAAATAATACTTCGGTTTCCTCCAATATATTATATATATACTTTTGTAAATCTGAAGATACAACAAGCATTTACGTCAGCCTGTGAATTAGAAAAGTGTTTGGAAAGCCCTCTTAAGATAAGCAATAGTTATTCCCCTTATCTATGTATACACTTGAAAACTATCTAGCACTAAGCTGAATTTCAATCTGTTGGAATTTACTTGATAAGCGAAGAGTGGGTTTTTTAGTAGTTCTATGTCGTTTTTATTTGGTAAAGCATTTGTTTAAATTACAAAGAAGACTATTAACCCCAAGCATTTTAATGATAAGCTTAAGGCGAGCTCAGAATAATAAGTTTTAGTCACACTTGATCTTTACGCTCTCAACATCTGTGTGGCGTTTAATGACGGTTATAAAATGCTTTTGGTGGCCACAAAACAAAAAATATTTATAACGAATGCTCGCTCGCTCGCTCTCCTCACCGGACCGGCCCCCGCAATCCAATTAGATGCAAAAGCAACAAATGTCAGATATAATGTCGAGTGGTGCTGCTGCTGCCGCATAATGACAGTGACGTGCTGCTTGTAATGCCCTTAGGTTATGGCAGCCCGTACAGGTTCAAGTTGAGGGTCGCCGCCTCAGCACAGCTCACCGAGGAAAAGCGAGGAAAAACAGTGGAAAACATTCGTTCCCATCGCTTTTGTGTTCGCCACAGAAGCTATTTATAGCTGAAAATGCCGCAATATGCTGCAGGCGCCTTACACTCTCAATAAATGTATGCAAATCCGACAGTAAGGTGGTTGGTCGTCCGTCAGGGAAAACGCAAATAATGACACTGCCCTCAAAGTTTTTCCCATTTAAAGCGCTGCTTAAAATATGCATTAGCGGTTGAAATAATTCATTTTTATGCCCTTGCAAGGTATTATAGTTTTACTCAGAAGCTTTTAATACAGTGAAGGAGTCATTTCCGACCCTATAAATAATATATATTCTTGATAACAATCAACAGGCGAATCCATCTAGACATGTTTAGTAAAAAAATAAATTTTCAAAAAATTTTCATCTTTTCAAAATTTTATAAGGGGTTACATCGTTTAAATTTTCAAAAATTGGCAAAAACTGAATTTTTCTTAAATGTTAAACGAAGTATGCAGATTTATTAAGCAAACAAAAACTAAAATAGGAATGGTTTCCGATTTAAAATTAATGCGTTTTTGGCTTAGTTATGGGTTTTTTAAACTTGGATTTTTACGAAAAATAAGTCATGTTAAAATATCTATTCAAGAATGAAAAAATTGTAAGCTTAGTTATGATCGATTTCTAATTCGATCCTAAAATTTAAATGCAAACAGCTAGGGTATATAAACGCCGGCTTCCCAAATGTGGTTTGTTTTAATTTGCTTATGTCAAAACACATTTCGATTCCAGAAACACTAGGTATTCATTTGTTTACCGTCCAGTGTAATTAGCGCAGCGTCACCATTATGAAATTCCACAAGTTGGACTCAAAGTTATGACAACAACAACAGCCGCACACACCACCCGCACAGCACACACACACCCGTTCAGAGCAGCTCGACTTACACTTGATTTTCTGGGTACCGGAGAAATGCACACCGCTCGCCTTGGAAATCTGGGCCGGACTGGAACGGCACCTTGGCGATACCAATGGCGAGGCCTGCGGCTGGGTCTGGGGCTGGGGCTCCGACTGCGACTGCGACTGCGACTGCGGTTATTTTGCAGCCCCTAGAGGTCTAGTAGTTGGCACTTGCTCTGGTCGAATTGAGGCAACAGGCACTTTAGACCAAAGTGGCCGAGAAACGGACAATTGACTGTCTCTGGCTCCGGCTTCGGTTTTGATTCCCGGCAATTGGAGACAACGAAAAGTTCAATTCAATTCGTTTGTCCGTTATCGTTCATTGTTTCATTAAGTGCGACCAACTTGGCGGATGGGCAGCGCCCCGGGCTATACGCGCCAAGTGTTTGCTGTTTGCTCTAATTGAAGAGCAAGAAAGTCTGTGCCCTTATCTAAATACCAGACAAAGCTCGATGGAGATTAGCCAGGCAAATTGATTTTATGGAAATTTCGTTAATTAATTTCACGGCCAGATAGTGCAAAAGGGCACCCTCCTCCGATTCCCAGTACAATGAAGTATTTATTTATGCCAATTGATGGGAATGGGGTTGTGAACTCTTTGCATACTTGTGGTGTGTATAAAATGCTAATGCCTCGATAAACTAAATCAATAGTACTCGAGACTACTGCTACTGATAGTCAATGAGACATTATAATGGACATTGTACAGGTAGAATAATTACATTTAACTTGAGAACTTCCTATATTCCTATAGTTGTCTGTTTAAAATCAAGTTAAATGTTACAATTCTGATAAATGAATACACATCATCTTGAAAGCATAATATATTTTAATAAACGTAAAACTATAAATATCAAAATCATTTGCATATTCGTTTTTCTTTACATTTTAACATGTTGATGCGCAGAAAGCTATCTAAATTTCATTACTCAAGGGGAAAAGCTTGTGCAGTGCAGAAAAACACTTTTCTTATCTAATGGCCATCGGCAAGATTTGCAAATTGCATTGTGCAATGCATATTGAACTCATGGGAGAGCCACCGTTGCAGTTGTTGACCATGTTGTGGTCAGTGAGCCTCTCTCTCCCTCTCTCTCTCTCACTCCCTCTCTCTTGAGTCGTTGTGGCAACGGGGCGTATACTTAATTCGAACTCTGTTCGCCGATATTACTCATACGCCATGTGGACTTTGACCAATCGCTTTTATCGTTGCTCCCAAATGCAGTCGCTGTCTTTTGTTTCTCTTTCTGCTATTTATCGCAACACCAGTTGCACAGTGAAACAGTGTCCGAAGCCTGTCAACCAAAGGGTTTTGTAATTACACAGCCTAAATTTTGCGATTATCGCCTGCTGCGCCCGAGTGCAATCTATGGTGCATAATTGCTGGCCAACAAGCTGCTAAGCGTGTGCACGTTTGTCAGCTGGAAATGGCCGTTTATTATGCATAATAATCGAGTTGGGCCTTGGTTGGGGTGGAAGGGGGGATCTGAGCAATGCTGGCCCGTTGCCCAGCATAGCATGCAAGGCGTTCGGCATGCTAATTAATTTGTCGCATGTTGCAGCCACGTGAACTCGGGCTCAGGCTTCAAAAAGGCGGCGCAGCTTGCATGCCCGAATGGTCCAGTAATTCACCTGTTATTGTGCAACAAAGCGGAACATTACTCTTTGTAGCGGGGCGATGACATAAGACCTTAAAAGCCATAAGGCCCACATTTAAATATGAATGGATAACAATCCGCATTTCACCCGTGAAATCAACCGTCACAAATGATTACGAGCGTTAATCACGAACACACTTTTCAGGTTCAAGAACTTTAAGCGACGATTAGATAGGCATTAACAACATTTATTCGAGGTACTTGGGCGTAAACAGAAAGCTCAATAAAAAACTGGCAATTAAAACAGCTGTCACCCGAATAATAAGAGGTCAGCGGCAAGGAAACTGCGGCATTAAATAAGATAATACATTTCCACCCATTAATGGGTCACTGGCTGATAAGCATTGAACTGCGGAAGGCCCCAGATGCATTAACTGGGTCAAAAGCAACGGGAAATGGTGTCCACTTAATCCTTTTGTCTTCCGTCCGAGAGAATACATTAATTATTCAGAAACAAAGAGAAGAACTCAGAGCCAGAAGATAACCAGCCGGCTGATAGCAAAGCTTTTATTATCCATCCCCACCCCACCCCCTTTGTTTGTAATAACTAATCAGAGTGTAAACTACTTATTTTCGTAAACAATGGTTAGTGATAATGATATTCACATTTTCCACCCCGCCCCACAAAGGCGTGTGCCAGACGCACATCAATTTCACTTTTTGAAAATACATTTGAATAATTTTCATGTGAGTTGTTTGACAGCAAGAGCTCGCAAAACAAGTTATGCAAAGCGAGCGGCAATTAATTTTGTATTATGTGTACCTCTATCTGTATCTGTATCTGTATCTGATGCTGTATATGTATCTGCCTCTGTATCTGTATCTGCAGACCGTGGATCAGGCCATACAAAAATGTTCTGTCGGATGTTCGGTTGTGGCCAATGAGGAACTGTTCCGTCGATGAGGCGACCCTGACCGCCATTGACCTTGATGCGGTGGCAAACTATTAAATTAACCCACTCAGTGTGTCTTTGACAAGGCACTCTCCTTGCTAATTAGAATGTTTTCCAACTCCCAACGGGCCTAAACGATGCGCCCGAGATTAATTACTGGCCGGCAAATTGGGTTGCCTTGATTATTACGCCTTGGCTACTGTCACCGGCAGGCAACCTTTGGACTTTGATGGAAAACCGGCACATAATCAGTGCACTGAGCGTAAATATTGGATGAATTCCCATTCCTCTGTGCGGCATAGCAACAACATGTTTCCTATATAGCTTATATTAATAAGTAAATGTATTAAGACAAAGTCTTTGTGAAATGAAACACATGTTGAGCAGGAACTGCGTGATGGAAATATGGTTAACAAACGCTTGTGTCAACAATTGGAGTATTTGTTTATGGTTCATGACTTTGTTAATGTTTAGATGATTTTCATTGGGTTTTGAAACCAGAATCAGGGTAATAATATACCCCATTGTTTATTAACTGAAATTATGGGTTTGCGGTTTTGATGACTTTGGTTTGCCATTTTTATATGAAAAGTGACATTGATTGTTTGGGTGTTTATTCAACGGTTGACTTCCTCTAATCTATTTTTAGTTTTCCAGGCTAGGGATTACGTTTTCATTCATTAGGTAATAAAGAAACCTTTTAAGAAGTTTTTCTCTCTGTCTTTGCTCTGTTTCCCCTAGCTTTTCCTACACTCTCAGTGGAAACTCTCGACTGAAAACCGGCTAAATGAGAGCGGAGAGCCGCAGATTTTGGCCAAGAGCGAAATAAGTTTGTGAAAAAAGCTGCAGCCCCAGCTGTGTTGAGTTGGGTTTAAGTTAATCAAAGAAAACACAAAGCGCGAAACCAAAACAACACGTGCAGCTTGGGAGAGAGAGAGCGGTCCTAAGGCGGCTTAGGGGGTGGGGCCAGAGGGCGTGGGAGCTTGTAAAACGAAGCCACCTTAACCTTCAGCAAGCGTGTGCCGCCGTGCTGAGGTAACTCAGGTAACTCAGTCCATTCAGCTAAAGAAATGAAAACGAAATCAACTGCGGATGGCCGAGGAACCAAGGAGCTATAATTTTTGAACTTTAAGGCCGTGAACGTGTTTTGAGTTCGTGATTCTGTCCAGTTTACTCCACCCACCATTCGAATACAGATATAGATATACATACTCTCTAGGCTTTGTGGGGTGTACACAATTGAGGCAATTTGTCGAGGGAATTCGCAATCGCCAAACATTTGTCACAATTAATTGAATAATTCAAACTTTGTCTCTTTGCCGAATAATTCACACCTGCTGCATTATTATCTTTTCATATTTAATCGGCTTGGCAACTGCTTCGGTTCTTTTGGTTGCCTTTTAAATAGTTAATTCTATTTGTTTGCTTTTGAACGAGATATTTGTTGTTGTTTTGGTTCACTTAGGGGATGTTTGCCACTCGGGAGAAAAAGAAGACTGCAAAAGTTCTATTCAACATATTCCCAAGACTTCTTTTTGAGAACTTTTCTTAATAGGCAGAACCATATATCACGCATAAAAGTACATATATAGATCTATATATATACATTATATATTATATATGCGGTGGATCCGACAAAGCACGCTCGCATACACTCACACACACCCACATGAAACTTACACTCTCGACGACAACAACAAGAAGCTTTTTACGCGACGCGAGTCTTTTTTTTTTCGAAAAAAAAAAAGCAAAACCCGCAACGAAAGACGAACCGAAGAACGCGTCCGCAGCGCTTCGACGCTCGGCAACTATTGTGCTATTACAAATAAAAACATGCTCACGAAAAATCTCCAACTGACAGCATACAAGCCCCCAACACCCCTTCCCCACCCAGCTGGCACACACACCCAGACACATCCCCATCGGTGTGTCAACAAGAGTTAAGCTTTGCTGTTGTTTTTGTCGGGCAGCTGTTCGCGTTGCTAAGCTTTTCGTGGAGCAAAGAGAATGCCAACGAGAGAGTGAAGGAGAGCAGCCCCCAGCAGTGACATTACACTGAGTGGGGGCCAAGAGCAGGCAAACTTAAGAGAGCTTCGTTGGTTTCAGGGTGGAGCTGCCAACTTATTGCAGTGGAGCCCCGCATCTTTACTATCTATTCAAATACAATTAAGTTTATACAAATATATCAAAAGATATTAGACTTTAACCATGAAAATAACATAAGATATATTCAAAAGATTCGAATTTGGAAGCTTAACCTTATAGTTTTTCTTAAATTAGCATAAGGAATAGCTTTTTTATTCCTTATAAATGCTCCAAATTTGAACCCCATGTTACTTTCATAGTTAGAGCTCAATTTTTTAATGACAAAGTGTTCATTCGACCTTCCATTTTTCGGGGTCATCCAAAAGATCGGCTCCTCTGGGTCAGAAGGCCTTGGCCATCACCACCAGCTCCAGGCCGGTGGGTGCCACAAAAACAGTTTTCCAACGTTGCAACGGGAGCTGGGTCAAGGAGTGCAGTTTCTGCCACGCTTCAGGACGAGTCCGAGCTTGAGGAGGAGGAACTGGACGAGCTGCTGTCCCCGGAACTAGTGTCGCTGCTGCTCCCACGACGCTTGCGGCGCCGGGCCTTCTTCTCATCTATCACCTCGTAGCTGGGCAGCGTGGAGTTGCTGGAGTCGGAGCTGCTGCTGCTGCTGGTCGAGCTGCTCGACTCCTCGACCACCGCCTCGATCTTCCGGGCTTTCCTGGGTAATAGGAAACAGGATATAGTCAAAGGGATACCATCAAAGACCAGAGGCATTACCTACTTCTTATCGGTTTTGTCTGCGCCCTTGCCACGCTTCTTGCTCTTGGCCAGATCGCAGTCACTGGGCGAGCTACTGCAATGGCGCTTCGATTTCTTCCCCTTTTTGTCCTTGCGCCGCGACTCCTTGTCCGTGCCGCTCGCTTTGGTCGAGTACAGGTTCTGGGAGCTGGCCGTGGAGTAGCCAGTATCCTTGCGCTTACGCTTTTTCCTGGAATCGAGGGGTAAATCAAGGGATATAAGCCTTTAAAATGGGATAAGTACTTACTTGTCCTTTTTGTCCTTTTTCTTTTTGCTGTACCCAGTCTCCTGCTCGGCATAGTCCCTATCCTTAGCCCTGTTTGGAGTGTGTTAAGATGATTACTCAGTGATGGATTTAGTGGAATGGAATGGATTTTCCTCACTTTTTAATCTTCTTTTTGATATCGCCACCTCGCTCATTGGATATCATGTAGATGCTGTTCTGATCCGCATCCTGAACCTTTCGCCGAGACTGAAACTGACGCGCTTTGGCCATGCGACTCTCTCGGCGATTCTTCCAGAACTCTGCGTTGACCACATAGAGGCGATACAGCTGCAGGATAATCACCAAGGAGTTTTTGCCTAGAAAATGTTAGGGAACATAATAAATACTAATACTTAAAAAGAATAGAAATTAACTTCGTGAAGCCGAAGCACTTGCAATTTGTAATTTAATAGAACTAAGCTTAAAATGTTCGCATTTTTGAATCAATATTTTCAATGCAATTTTTTTCGTAAAAATCGAAGCTTAAAAACCCCATAACTAAGCCAAAAAAGCATTAAATTTAATTTGAAAAGCAGTCAATTTAAAATTTTTTTAAATATTCAAATTTTTATCGATTTTTGACAATTTTAACGATGTAACCCCTTATAAAATTTTGAAAATTTGAAAAAAATTAATTTTGACTGGATCGTTAGATCGACTCGGTTCTTAATTGATTGTGATCAAGAATATATATACTTTATAGGGTCGGAAATAATTCCCAACAGCGTTACAGCCTTCTGATTAAAATTATAATACAATTTTTAAGCCGATATTTCAAAATATTTTTAAGTGAAAATTTGCTCTACAAATCAAATTTTAAAAATGTCATAATTCAGTTAAAAAAGCCTTAAATTCAATTTAAAAACCGTCTTTATGCTAATTTTTATACCCTTGCAGGGTATTATAATTTCATTCAGAAGTATGCAACGCAGTGAAGGAGGCACCTCCGACCATATAAAGTATATATATTCTTGATCAGGATCAACAGCCGAGTCGATCTAGCCATGTCCGTCTGTCCGTCTGTCCGTCTGTCCTTCTGTCTGTCTCTCAGTCTCTCAGTTTTAAAGCTATCTTAATGAAACTTTGTAGTTAGCCTTATATATACTCTAACTCATATATATGTCGGAACGGGCCAGATCGGACGACTATATCATATAGCTGTCATAGGAATGATCGGAAAATTTTTACAAAAAAAATTAACATTTTCAGTTTTCAGCAGATTTTTATCAAATTTGAGATATAGCCATTTTGTTATACTCTACAATTCTGTGTAAAATTTTATGAAAATCGAACTACTATATCATATAGCTCCCATAGGAACGATCGAGAAATGAATACAATTAAAAATTACAACTATTTCAGTTTTAAACAGATCATCATCAAGTTTGAGGTGTAGCCATTTTATATTAGTCTTAAATTTTGTGTAAAATTTCATGAAAATCGGACGACTGTATCATATAGGTGCTAAACAAACGATCGTTTGGTGTAGAGGAAAAATGCAAATCTGTGAACTGCAAATATAATATGTTTAGGAATATGAAATGAAAACAGGTGTTACTTCATTGTTTTTAATCATAAATATATATAATTTATATTGTGGGGATTCCTACTCATAGAAGTTCAAGGTAAGTACACTAATCATATATTAAAAACTTATTTTAGATACAAAAAAAAACATGAATAATTTTCTTAATACCTTTAAAGTTAGCTAAGTATTAAGCGGTCAAATATTAAATATATCATACCTAAGCCAAAAATGCATTAATTTCAGTTTTTATTAGGGTAAGAAATCTGCATACTCAATTTAAAAATTAAAAAAAATTCAAATTTCGTCAATTTTTCACCATTTTAACGATACCCCTTATAAAAATGTAAAATTGTTAAAAAATATCAAAAAATTAAATTTATTTCTGACCTGGCTAGATCGATTCGGCTGTTGATGCTGATCAAGAATATATATGAATAGTAGGATCGGAAATGACTCCTTCACTAAGTTTCAAGCTTTTGACTGAAAGATAGGCTTTGCTTAATTATTTGGTACATAGAGCGCTCTCCTCTGCGATTCTCAAGTCTTACACTTAAGCAAGGCCAGCAAGAGAAAGTTTAGTTTTCTTCTTCTTCTTTAAATTACTAATTTAGTGCTTGGTGGTTGATAGACTTTGATCAAGTGGATGTGGCAACCATGGCTAGATCGAGTCGGCTGTTGATGCTGATCAAAAATATATATGAATAATAGGATCGGAAATGACTCCATCACTAAGTTTCAAGCTTTCGACTGAAAGATAGGCTTTGTTAAACTATTTGGTACATAGAGCGCTCTCCTCTGCGATTCTCAAGTCTTATACTTAAGCAAGGCCCTAGCTAGAGGAAGTTTAGTTTTCTTCTTCTTCTTTTTGTGTGTTTTTTATATAAATTACTAATCTAGTGCTTGGTGGTTGATAGACTTTGATCAAGTGGATGTGGCAACCATGGCTAGACCAAGTCGGCTGTTGATGCTGATCAAGAATATGTATGAATAATAGGATCGGAAATGACTCCTTTACTAAGTTTCAAGCTTTCGACTAAAAGATAGGCTTTGTTTAACTATTTGGTGCATAGAGCGCTCTCCTCTGCGATTCTCAAGTCTTATACTTAAGCAAGGCTCTAGTTAGACGAAGGTTTAGTTTTCTTCTTCTTCTTTTATATAAATTACTAATTCAGTGCTTGGTGGTTAATAGACTTTGATCAAGTGGATGTGGCAACCATGGCTAGATCGAGTCGGCTGTTGATGCTGATCAAAAATATATATGAATAATAGGATCGGAAATGACTCCATCACTAAGTTTCAAGCTTTCGACTGAAAGATAGGCTTTGTTAAACTATTTGGTACATAGAGCGCTCTCCTCTGCGATTCTCAAGTCTTATACTTAAGCAAGGCCCTAGCTAGAGGAAGTTTAGTTTTCTTCTTCTTCTTTTTGTGTGTTTTTTATATAAATTACTAATCTAGTGCTTGGTGGTTGATAGACTTTGATCAAGTGGATGTGGCAACCATGGCTAGACCAAGTCGGCTGTTGATGCTGATCAAGAATATGTATGAATAATAGGATCGGAAATGACTCCTTTACTAAGTTTCAAGCTTTCGACTAAAAGATAGGCTTTGTTTAACTATTTGGTGCATAGAGCGCTCTCCTCTGCGATTCTCAAGTCTTATACTTAAGCAAGGCTCTAGTTAGACGAAGGTTTAGTTTTCTTCTTCTTCTTTTATATAAATTACTAATTCAGTGCTTGGTGGTTAATAGACTTTGATCAAGTGGATGTGGCAACCATGGCTAGATCGAGTCGGCTGTTGATGCTGATCAAAAATATATATGAATAATAGGATCGGAAATGACTCCATCACTAAGTTTCAAGCTTTCGACTGAAAGATAGGCTTTGTTAAACTATTTGGTACATAGAGCGCTCTCCTCTGCGATTCTCAAGTCTTATACTTAAGCAAGGCCCTAGCTAGAGGAAGTTTAGTTTTCTTCTTCTTTTTGTGTGTTTTTTATATAAATTACTAATCTAGTGCTTGGTGGTTGATAGACTTTGATCAAGTGGATGTGGCAATCATAAAAATTATAGTTTTCTTAATTAAGGTAAGACGTTAATAAAATATCTCTTGATAATTGAAACCAAAACATGGCCCACAAAAGTCAAGATACATGATAATATGGTTTATATTAAATTATTGTTTAATTACCATACCCTTGTTGACTAGCTTATTATTGATCTCGAAAAGTCTTCCAAGCTCTCTTTAAGAGCCGTGATGATCATGACGAGCTGGGATATGGTGTCATTTATTTGTTTATAGTAAAGTATACTTAACTCCCGAAAATATAAAATATATATTAAAATAAGTTGATCTATATTTGTAAAGCAAATTTTTAAGAATTGGTATGCTTTTAAATAACAGAAAGTTAACATATTTCAAGCAATGCTTGTATATAATTTTTGCAAAAGTAATTCTTCACACAAAAACCCGCTCAAAAAATTAGGATTTTAAGCTTGCTATTATAAGCCTATTTAGGATTTTTTTTCCTTGTTTGTTTTCTTTTCTTTTTTTATACCCTTGCAGGGTATTATAATTTCAGTCAGAAGGAGTGAAGGAGGCACCTCCGACTATATAAAGTATATATATTCTTGATCAGGATCAACAGCCGAGTCGATCTAGCAATGCCCGTCTATCCTTCTGTCCGTCTGTCCATTTGTCCGTTTCTACCCAAACTAGTCTCTTAGTTTTGAAGCTATCTGAATGAAACTTTGTAGTTAGCCTTCTATATACTCGCACTCGTATATATGTCGGAACGGACGACTATATCATATAGCTGCCATTGGAATGACCGGAAATTTTACAAAAAAAATTATAACATTTTCAGTTTTCAACAGATTTTCATCAAGTTTGAGGTATAGCCATTTTATATTAGTCTTAAATTTTGTGTAAAATTTCATGAAAATCGGACGACTGTGCCATACAAACGATCGTTTGATGTAGAGGAAAAATGCAAATCTGTGAACTGCAAATATAAATATGTTTAGGTGAATGAAATGAAAACAGGTTACTTCATTGTTTTTAATCATAAATATATATAATTTATATTGTGGGGATTCCTAGTCATATTAGTTCTATCTGCAAGGGTATATACACTTCGGCGTGCCGAAGTGAACTTTCTTTCTTGTTATTAGATTAATTAATCTACATACTCAATTTATCTTTTTAAAAAATTTAATTTTTTGTACATTTTTGAGAGTTTTAACGATGTAGCCCCTTATAAAATTTTGCAATTTTGAAAATTTTTTTAAATTTTGTTGTATTTGATAGACATGTTTAGACCGAGTGGCCTATTGATTCTGATCAAGAATATAAACGATTTATAGGGTCGGAAATGATTCCTTCACACCATTTCAAGCTTCTGACTGAAATCATATTATACAAATTAAGGTTAATTATGGTTACGAAAGGAACTCACAGGTGAAAAAGACATTCATGTAGTTAATAATATTGTACTGGAAGATGATCAGCAAGCGGAAAGTCAGGAAGGGCGCATCCTGCAGGATAACGTTGAGCACAATGCCCCACACATCGATGCCACAGCAGCAATTCTGGCAACAGTCGGTGTGTCTGTGAAATAAAAACCAATAAAGACAAGTCCTGGAATGCAGATATAATCAGTATAATCTTACTCCTCCTTGCTATGTGATCCACTGCCACGGGGACGTCGTCCTCGTGTCGCTGACAGCACTATTGTGAACTGCATGAGGCTCCAGGACCAGATTCCCAGCGTTAGAAATACCAGGAATCCAATCTCCGCTATGGAGTCGTCCTTGTACGAGTCGAAGAACTCTATAATATCCGCCGCCGTACCTATATAGACCAGGAGCAGCTGACTGAGCTGGTCCCGCGTGAGATCCCCCTTCGGGAGCAGCCACCGGCCCACGATGAGGATCAGCATGAGGAACTGCTCGATGAGGGTGGTCAGGGTGGCTCTACTGATGTGCGGCAGCTTGACCCCGGCTTGGCCCAGCAGATTTGCCATGGGTACAATTCCGCTGATATTGCTGTCCGGCAGACTGGAGTTGTTCACCAGCGGACTACTGAAGTTGCCTAAGCCCGAGACATTAGCAATGATTAGCGATGTGTTCTTGGCGGCCAGTCGCCGGTCCACCTTGTCCAGTTCGAGGAGCCAAATCGCCGGCACAATGCTGCTCAGGTAGAGGAACACCGAGGGGCAGAACCTGCGAACGAAGGATACCACAAATAAGGTTGCTCGGGACGAAATAGCCAAAACAAACAACAAGTCTGGGTGATGCGCCAAAAGGTAAACAAGAATCGAAAGACACTCCTCCTCACTCCTCCTCAAACCAAACCAAACACACCCGCACCACACGAAATTCCATTAAAGTTTTTACTATTACAACGCTTGGGGTGGACAGTCTGCACTTGAAATAAAATCTAAGCATTTAAAATTGATTGAAATTTGATGAAAAGCTTTAAGAAAGATAAAATATAATATATATTAAACATAAATAAAATAATTATAAACCAGAATTAATGAAGCATGTTAGGGATATATATACTTTATAGGGTTCAAAGCAAATAGCAAACTTTTGACTGAAATGAAAATATAAATAAATAAATAATATAATTAAAAAATATAATTAAAGTTTATGTATTTGTGCTTGGGTATTAATTTATTATTAAATAATTTATAAATTTATTTTCATAAACTGATTGCAATAATAATGGCCTTTAATTGTAAATATTATCTTATATACCAATTGTGAAACAAAGCCCCATGGATATTCTTAAACTTAACGTAAAAATTATAATAATTTGCTGTCAAATTTTTTAATAAATAAACTGTTTTTTTTCAAGTGTGGAGGAGTGGCAGCAGAGTTTGTGGGGAGTGTGGGTGGTTTGGTTAGCCACACATTAAACACATGATTTCACTTTTAATTGAAAATCAAAGCCCGCGGAATGATGTCAGCGCCAGCGATAGTTGTTTACATTCCGGGAAACGGGATAAATCAGATCAGGACCCATCTGGAGGATCATCCTTACCAGCGCCACTCCTGCGTCTTCTTGATCATAATGGTGAAGATGCCCTCGAGGAGGAGCAGCAGCAGGGGTCCACATAGTGTCCAGTATTTATGATCCTCCTTGATAATTACCAAATGCCAAATGGCCAGGAGGCTGTGAGCACTAAAGATAATCCTCGTGAGGATGGCCTTGATCGTGGAGATTATCTTGGCCATGGCTGCAATGACATAATCCTGCGAGCGAGCCAGTCACCCAGGACCAAAGGACACCGAATCGAAGCAAACCGAACCGCACACGGTGGAAAGTCAAACGCAACTGAGTTGACTGACTGAGCAGGATTCGCTGGGCCCCAAATGCTTTCATTAGATGTTTAAACGCTTTTTAAGAAATTAAGGACACCGCAGCGAATGGCGCGTAATTGGTGAATGGCGCAGTCGTCCGTCCAGGTTTTCCCCGTGCGCGTGCAGGCTGAGTGTTTGCGGCGCCTTCGCCAAATCATCTTCGGCGTGTCCCCAGGAGCGAATTAGACTAGTCAAAATATAACTATCGTATCAAAAAATAATAGAATATATATTTAGCGAGGGTCACGAATATTAAAGGATAACAAGTAATAAGGATTTTTATTCCTTTTTATACCCTTCTAGGCTATTATAATTTTACACACAAGCTTGTAACCCAATGAAGGACTAATTTCCGATCCTATAAATCATATATATTTTTTATCAGAATCAACAAACGAATCAATCTAGGCATGCCCGGCAAAAATTTAATTTTTTCAAAATTTTGAAAATTTTATAAGGGGTTACATCGTTAAAATTATCAAAAATTGGCCAAAAATGAAATTTTGTAAAATGTTAAATTGAGACGCTTTCCGAATGGAAATTAATGTTAGTTATGAGATTTTTAGACTTTATTTTGTCGATACAAATTGTCATATAGAGACATTGATAAATATCGATTAAAAAAATGTTTAAATATAAAATGAAATATGCAATTTGTTAAGCTAATTAAAACTAGCATAAACAAGTGGCTAAGTTATGAACTATTTTCATTGCAAGGATATAAAACTTTTGGGTTCATGAAACAAGCATCCTTTCTTGCTTGGCACTTTTCTTTCTGTAAGCAAGTGAATTATAATTCCTTGATCTCTTATCCTGGATTTTTGATGACAATAAAATCTTCTAGACAATGCTTAATATATTTAATTTTATATATGAACGTTGGCTTTAACCGCGACACGCTCCTGGTAATGACATCCCAAACGAAATCGAACCCATGCGTGTTATACTTATGTGTACCTAGAAATCACATGACCGTTAAATGCTAGCGTTCGATGGACGAACCCGGGATTAGGTCCTGGGTTGGGGTCCAACCACAAATGGTCACAAATGCAGTGCAAACAAATCGGAGGAGTGAAGAAAGACACCCAAGCCTTGGCCATCAAAATCGTGGTAATGTAGCTGCATGGCATGGCATGGCAGGTTATAGTCATCGTAAAACCCACTCCCGCGCTAAAATTGAACATATAGCCGATGTTTACGCCTATGTGGGCAGAGTTGGGTCAATGTTTTTGGCGCACGTGAAGTCATTGAATAGGGATAAGGATGACGGTCGAGGTATGGGTCTGGATCTGGGTCTGGGTCTGACTGCCTACTGCCATGCTAGACAGGCTACCTGTTGATTGGAACAAAGAAAGTTGGCAAGATGACTCAGTATCTGTCCTAAAGGTGAATATAGTTCATGAATTAACTAATTATTTCCATTATCTTTAGCATAATCATAATAAATAATTGTTAGATATAGAGAAATATGTTAGATTTTAAATCTTAAAGGCATACCGCCCTACTCAACTTCAACTCTAGCAAAGGTTTGTTTATAAACTATTTCAAATTTCTCAGCAATTTCAGAGGAGTCCCTTTTTAATTTTAGTTCCTAATCCTTCCTAATCAAATCCTAAAAACCATCCTAGCATCAGATATATGGATTGCAACAGATTAATCTGTAAAATGTTACATTTATTGCTTTAAGTGATATATCTGTCTGGATGTGAGAACTCAGCCCCGATTGTTGCTCCGTCTCAGGACCCTGACGAGTCGACGGTTTCGCAAACGGGCAAGACGCCTCGATAGTCTCCGGGTACTGGCTGTGGTGTTCCTGTAGATCTTATATCTCCGCGTCACCGAAAACCTAAGATTGCTGACCCGGAAGCGCTTCCTGTGGACAGTCGACGCGGAGGAAGCTGCGGTTGTTGTTGTCGTTGTGGTGGCCGCCGTTGTCGTTGTCGTTGTGGTGGCCTCCGTCGTGGTCGTCGATCCGGTGCCAGTGCCCGCCGCATTGGCCACCCACATGCATATGGTTAGTGTTAGGAAACCCAATGCCAGTTGTCCTGCCTTCATCTTGTGTTGGATGCTGCTGATCTGTTGTATGGCCCACCGGCGGCTGGGAGTTTTTATATGTGGCCAAGACAATCGGCTCCGCAAATATTTTCCTTACGCTCTCACCAATTACGTCTGCGCAAAATTTTTTGGCCATATTTGCAGAGTCTGGTGAGGGGAACAAAAGAACGCGCTGGAATTTCGCACAAGCCATTAAATTAGATATTAAATACTGGGTTTTATTTTTACGACCCTTGTTCTAAAATTAATCGCAAGCTGCACTTGGAGAAAATTAGTGGTCACTTTCTGTGTTCTATAAATCAATAGGAAAATAGACCTTATAGATACTCCAACAAAGTATATTGCCTATTTCCATTTGTTGTAGATTACATTTATGAAAAAGGAAGAGCTGGAAGTTGTTCTTGAAATAAACTTTCTCAGCGTGTAGGTAGGAGGGTGTCCTCCTCCTGGACAAATAACCCTGAAACCGAACAGGATTTGGTTCCCGCCTGGCTGCATGTTGGCACATAAAACACTGCATAATCAAATATTTGCGTGAATCCAACTCGACTCTTCGACTTGATTCTGCTGCTTATTTGCCAGGCATCGAGGAGGACTGGCGGTGACATTTATTGGTCCTGCCACTGACACCGATACTGACGCCGCTGGGTTGCGTGGTTAACCCGGCCTCCCGCTGAGATTTACCTAAGTCGCCCCATCCGGACTTCCTATATAAGTCCGCGCCCGGACCGACTATCGTTCATTCACAAGTCCCTGCTGCAGGTGTCCCGTGCTCTGTTCCCGCTGCTGCTGCACCTCAGACAAATGGCTCGCCTCACTTTCGCCCTCGTCCTGGTGCTTCTGACCATCTCTTCACGGTGCGGATCCTCCGGAGCCATGGCCATGCCCGATGAGGAGCGGTATGTGCGCAAGGAGTATAGCCGCGACCTACTGGACTGGTTCAACAATATGGGACAGTTTACGCCCGGCCAGCTGGCTACCATTTGTCGGTATCCACTGATCCTGGAGAACTCCTTGGGCGAACCGATACCCATCAGAAAGCGGAACTCGGAGCTCATCAATTCGCTGCTGAGTCTGCCCAAGAACATGAACGATGCTGGCAAGTAGGAGGATACGGTGACTAAAGTGAAATGGAGGTAGCTTTGGACCCCTGGAACTCGGATTATTATTATTATTATTTATTGTTACTCGTTTTGTTGGTGCGTTGAGGAACGAGAGTGCGAATGAGAAATCCACAGGAATGAGCAGTTGGTATAGCCATGTAATTGAGAGCAAAGACAGTATAAATTTGTTGCTTTAAAAGTTCTATTAAAAAAAATATACAAATAGCAAATTTAAATGAATTTGTTTCATTTCAAACTTGTCAGAAACTTTTAAATACATTTTCAACTACTTTTAGAGCCATCCTTAAGATGGGGAATTTATAACTAGATATAATTTCATGACTGTTTCCCACTTGTAAAATATTTATTCTGCACAGTCACATAGAACATGTGTGGAGTTTTTGCTTGAACTTGACAAAAAGCTATTCAAATACTAAAAGTATTTAAAAGTCTCATAAATTTCCACTACTAAAAGTTTAAAGTCATGATGTGGGCTTCAATATTTAATTTTATTTTCCATGTGCTTTTTATCCTTTATCCAGTAGACTTCTTTTTGTTTACATGGATCCTTCGGACGATTTTGTAGTGAATATTGTGAGCCGTAAAATGCTTCCTGTGCACAGTACTGGGCGTGGCAGTTGTTGTCGTCGTTGTCGTGGTCGCACTGGCCTCTGTGGTTGTCGTGTTGGTCTGGGCAGAGCTTGGCTGGAGCAGGAAGAATCCAGCAAACAGGACAACGGCGAATAGATATGTTGCTAGCTTCATTGTTCTCGGGTTAAACAAAAGTGACTGTTTTATGAAACCTTCGGGGCCCCTTTATATATCCAAATTCGGCCTAAACTTAAATGGAAAGAACCCAGACCGAGATGATAAGTAAACAAGAGAAAACAATACAAAATCTGCAAAACTATTTTTGCACAAAGAACATGGCTTTATTTTCGTTTTGTGTTTACCCCATGGACAAAAACAACTGCTGTAGGGTTCGTTTATATGACGGCAATATATATTTTATCTTATAAGATAGACAACTATGTTAATCAAGGTTGCTTATTCATATTAAAAATCGAACAATTCTTCACTTGTTTAATGGGTAAGTTCATTTGGCGCTGATTGAAATCGGTAAGAGTTTGTATAGAAAACGTTATGCCTATGCCTTGTCTGATTAAGCCCAAAACTATGCGATTATGTATGTAAATGAAAACATTTGACAAGCGAATTGTTAGTAACGACTACGTACAATCAAGATGTATACAATTTTCAATTAAAAATCAATTAATTATCGCTGGAACAATGGTAACATATGCGAATGTGTGTATATGTTGATGCTCGCCTCGGCTCAAAATGCAGTTTCGGTAGCTTTTCACTTACATGACTACGAACTAAGCGCCAACGCGCCGGCGCTGCCTGATAATGCATAAATACTAACTAACTGGCCGTATCCTGCCTTGGCTAATTATTAACGGCTAATCTAGCATATCGTACGTGGCTACAGCGGAGGCGGTGTGCTCCCAGCACACCGGTGACTAAGTCGCATGCCCCGGAACACGCTCTGGCCGCTGCGCCGCCAAGCTGCAATCAATTCAGATACGTAAGGCTTATATATAGAAGCCGGACTTCTTCATTACTCACATATTACGGTTATAGGTTATAAAGCTTTAGCTGATTCCACAGCTTTGTTGTTTTCTTTTTCTTCTTAACTTTTTGGAAACACACACAATGGCGCTGACTTTTGCTTGATATTTGCTGAAACGCACTCCTCTCTCATCCTTATGCTCCTCCTGTTGATGCGACTGTGGCTGGTTGATCTCACATGAAAAACTCGTTGGCCGAATGGGAAAGCGGAAGTCACGTTCGCCCCGGACGGTCGAATATTGTAATCTCTATGACGCGAAGACCCCGATACGTCGGATCGATCAGTTGCAGGCCCTTGGGGTTGTAAATGCGTTCGTTTTGGGAAGCCACAAATTTGGATATCTTGCGAAGGGTCTGTGGTAGATAAAAGATTAAAATTAATTGGGGAATTAAATACTGAGTGAAGGTAGAAATAATAGCAACAAGTTTTGCAGATTTCTTCGTAGAAAGAACTTAAGTAATAACTTTCAATAGAGTACAAAAGTACAAAGATATCTTCAACATTGTTGTTCGATTAAAGGTCAATGACTGATATAAGCACATACATTTAACCATGAACTTTGCTATTATTTCGACCGCACTTTTAGGTATTCACAAGGATGACGCACCTTTTCGTAGTGCGTTTCGGAGCACATGTAGATCAAGTAGGCTGTGATGCAGCCAATGCAGCCCTCGCAATAGGTGCCACAGGATCCCTCCTCCGCCTCGGCGTAGAATTCGTTTAGCCTGTTAATGGTGGCCTCGAAGACGTGTCGCTCGATCTGTGGTCAAGGAAATGAAGCCGTGATGATGTTTAGGATGCAACCTTTTACGGAGTATTAAAACTTACCATGCCGTCCAGTTCCGCAGGTAACCGCGTGTGGAACTTCACGGAGGTGCCCTCGCTATAATCCCGCTGTATAAAGACCTTACTGAAGACCACGCCCCCGCCAACGCCCTGGAGCGCCGTGGGATTGCCGCCCGCCGGAGTGCCACTGCCGCCGCCGCCGCCCTGGGACATGATGTCTCTGAAAAAGCCAATCGCCGCGTGAATAATCTCGCTCTGCAGCGCCCGATGCATTTGGTTGAGGGCGATCATCGCGATGGCAGGGTGGAGGTGCCTGCTGGCGCCTCACAACTACTGGGCAGCTGGCCTTGCCTTTTCCAGCACAGCCCCGAATACGGAAAGTGACAGTGACTGGTCTGTGGGAACTTGGCATGGCCTGCTCCTGCACGTACCTGATTAGCTTGGAGTAGAAAAACCTTGGGTGGCCTGGAAGTGCCTGGAGTCGCTCTTTTATTGCTGCAAGTTAATAAAAAGACAAATGCTTGATATTGTTGCTAATATTGCAGGTTTTCAACGGTGTGACCGCTCGCTAGAGACGGGAAAATACCACATTTGATTATACTGGAAAATATACCGCAATACCATTAAGAAGAATATAATTAATTTATATAAGTTTGTTAAGAAAGTAGTTAGAAATCATTTTACTTCTCTTAAATCACTTCTTCGTAATAAATATTTAATTTCTATTATATTGCAAATTGTTAAATTATTCTATAAAGGTGGTTGGGCAAATCTTCCAATAAGATGCAAGTTGTAAAATAAAATCAGTATGTAAAATAAAACAATATAGTTTTGTTATCGAATTTTCAAATTCGCAGCGTTGCCACATGTCCAAAAAAGGAAAAGCGCACGTTACTTCTAATTAATTGATGCTATTTTTAAGAAGTACTAACCGTATAACTATTTACTGAGCTTTTGGGCAAACATTATACCCGTGTTTAAAAACCATGCACTTTGGATACGTACATTGCTCTTGCTGACGCCGGCGCGTTGAGATTTGAAAACAATTTACCAACTCGAACGCATTGGAGTTGGAAATATTTGCACAGCTTGGCCTCTTGTTTTAGTCCGCGAGAGAATGTTTCTTTATACTTGTATTTGCTCAGTGGCTTTTCTCTATTAGCAACCTGCTGACGGTCATGTCTCAGTGTCTTTTCAAAGCTCAACCATGAAGGCAGCCTTAGATCTCAGCCCCTGGGGATGGATATCCTGCCTGTGCTTGGGCTTTATGTCCTCCTGTCTTGCGGTTCCCATTGTCGGAGGCAGGATCGTGTCAACCGTGGGCAGTACATCTTGAACTAGAAATCTAAAAACACTAACTAAAAATCGAATGGGTTCTATTTTAAAGGTAGCCCAAATAAATATCCGTTCATGGTCTCACTGCAGGACGTGATTAGGGGAAATGGCACGAGAGGATCTTCGTTTCGGCATTTCTGCGGCGGCAGTCTGATCAGCGATCGCTGGATCCTGTCCGCAGCTCACTGTGTCTGGAGAAAGTAAGTCTGGTAAAGCCATGGGAACATTCTAATGTCTGGAAACTATATATGTTTAGGAACATTCACAATATCGCAGCGTTTATTGGCTATGAGAATATCGAAAACATCGACCACCTCGAGCCATATGGCCTGGAAAGCGCCGAGTATATTTACTTCCAACCGTGAGTAATCAAGTCAAGTTTAATACTCAAAAAAAAAGAGATATTAGGCGATCAATGTCAAATGATGTTTAAGTTTTTTTCAATTTCTTTATTTAATTTTATAATTATGGCTTTCTGCGTAACTTTTTCTCTGTAATAAAATTTAATATGCAGGCATAATGGATACCCCGCTTAAATATATCTTTCATTGCAGATCCAACTTTAGGAACGATATAGCTCTGTTGTATATGAAGCGACGCTACTGGAGTTATCTCAGCAGGGAACTGCAATTCGCCCAACTGCCTCCACAGGGAATGCAACCAGATAGGAATGGTATATATCATTACTCACAACCTAAATAGATATAACCATTATTCCCTCTCAGAATCGTGTCGAATTATTGGCTATGGGGCCACCCGGCATGCTGGACCCTCACAGAAGCAACTTTTTGAGGCGGAAGTTCGGGTGATTGGTAACCAAAAATGCCGGGATATCATAGGACATATATGGGCCCCACGGAACGGAGCGAATACGGCGTGTGCTCTGGGCAACAATCAGGACTCTTGTCAGGGAGATTCAGGGTGAGCTTCGATCGCAAATTAACATGCATTTTAATGAAATATTTTGCTTTACTAGAGGTCCGCTTATCTGTCCATATGGTGGCAGGGACTACATCTACGGCCTTGTGTCCCACGGCCTCACTTGCGGCATCCAGGGCATGCCCAGCATCTATACGGTGACCCGACCCTACTACGATTGGGTACAGCTGCTCATGCAGTCCTAGATCTCTGATGATCACGTATAAATAGTCAAATTTTTTATGCGATATCAAACAGAAAAACAGTTATCAATATATACTTAAATAATGCAGGAATAGCACGGCCTAACAACGAACTTAGAGGCTAGAGTACTGCAGGTTACAATATATCTAGAGTTAACGCTAGACTAACTATAAAACCATTTTCACGACTTGATTGTGTTCAGATTTTAACCTGTGTTTCTCAGTGTCTAATTAACTTACTAATCTTTAAACGTTGTTGAAAGAATGCAATCGTGAGGCTCCTGGAACTACCGATAAATCAAGTCGTGAAAATGGTACTTAACTTAACTTCGGGAATATTTTTCCCATCACTTCTTTTCCGCCTCCTCTGCCGGAACAGTGGCCGGGGTGTCCTCCACTTTGTCGGACAGCTTGCCCGTTCCAGTCTCTGGAAGCATGAGAGTCAGCAGGCCAGCTACTAGAACGCAACAGCCGCAGATTGTGGTTGGAATGTACCACCCAAGGGCTCCTAAGATGTCGACCACAAACGGGGCCGAAATGGAGCCCACATGGGCGAAGGTCGAGCAGGTTCCCAGCGCTGAGTTGCGAATCTCGGTGGGGTAGAGCTCTGCCGTGTATAGGGTAACCACTGAGTAGGTGGCACTAATGCCAAAGCGTCCCAGCATGGCGAAAGCCACGATCCAGGTGGTGCTGCCGGCAGGAACGGCCAGAACCAGCAGCAGAGACACTCCCGTCCATAGGAACAGGAACATGGTGGTGATACGACGCCCAGTGAAACGGAGCATGATCACCGGCACCAGGTACGAGGGTATGTCCACCAGGCCAGTCCCAATGATGTAGAGGTAACGCGACACCGACATGTTGGCGGCATTCAGAGCTGCACGAAAATAGTATCGGAAGTTGAATAAGTTTTTCAGTTTCTAATAATTAATTAGTAACTCACCCGTCACATAGTAACTCAGGGAGGTTACGCAGAACATGAAGTACGAAGTGAAGATCAGCTTGCGCACACTGGGATTGGCAAACAGCTCAATGATGGACTTCAGGGGACCATTCTTGAGCCTCTCACCCAGCGAGAAACTTCCCTGTGGCTCCATCTGAAGTGGTAAAATATATTCAATAAGTTCTTAGCCTGGCAACCAAACACAGATGTGCCTGGAACTTTGTACTCACCGACTTCTTATCGGTGACGACGGGAGCGATGGCTGCAGCCGTGGGCTGGACCTGGTAGTGGCTCGGTTGTCTGAAGAGGATCTTGTAAACGCGATCGTACCGCCGGTTCATGATCAGCCAGCGAGGTGACTCATTCATCAGGCTAAAGAAGATTGATTGGTATTTAATAAGTGGGAGCAATTGGATTACAAAAACACCACTTACTAGCAGTTCAATATGAGCAGCAGCGAAGGAATGGTCAAAGCCAATTGCAGATCCCGCCAGGGTTGGATAAAGTAACCTATAATTGCCAGGATGATCATGCCCACGGGATAAGAAGCGGAGAAAGCTATCGACATCCACGAACGATGCTTCAAGCAAATGTTCTCAACAACTAAATAAATAAAAACAAATTACAAAGTAAAAAACATAATGTATGATATTTATAAGCTTATAGTTGAGTTCAGTTCTTAATCTTACTCATGGTAAAAGCAGGATAAAAGAGTCCTGAGGAAGCTGCTCCTAGGAGGAAGCGTCCAGCCAAAAAGAGACTGTACCAGGGGGAAAAGGTGCAAAAGAAACTGCCCACAATGAAGAACAGAGCACCCAGGGTAAAGGATGCTTTACGGCCAAATCTGTAAGGTAAAAAAATCCAAAGTAATTTTTACACTTTTTATTCCCTTTCAAGGATACTATAATTTCAGTCAGAAGCTTTAAACTAAGTGAAGGAGTCATTTCCGACCCTATAAACGATATATATTCTTGATCAGCATCGATAGGCGGATCGATTTAGCTATGTTTGGAAAAAATTTAATTTTTTCAAAATTTTGAAAATTTGATTAAAATTGTCAAAATTAAAAATTTTAAACTGAGTATGCAGACTTGTTAACCTAACAAAAACTAGCATAAAACAGCTTTCCGAATTGAAATGAATGAATTTTTGACTTAGTTATGATCGATTTTAATAGAGAAATTTGAGTTCCCGAAACAGGCTTCCTTTCTTGTCAAGGATCATTTTCCATTAATCAACTTACTTGTCCGCCAAAATGCCAAACGTAAAGGAGCCACAGAACTTGCCCAGCGATATGGAGACCTGGGCGGAAGTCCGCTGGATGCTCTGCTCGCAGGTGAGATCCCAGTCGGAGACGAAGGTGCTCTCCGGATTGGCGTACTCGTAGCGACCCTTCACTTTGCAGGACACCTCCGCTGGCTGTGCGCTCTCCAAGTGATGGCCGGTATAGTTGAGAGCCGCCTCGTAGGACATCTTGGCCAAATGCTGATAGTCCCAATCCCACACAGTGCATCCACCGGAGTCCAGGCCATGTGCCGCTATCTCCCGCTTCTGGGCCAGCGTCCAGTTGGTGTCCTGCAGATCCGGGATGCCACACCACTGATCATCGGGCAGGTGGCCCAGCAGCGTGTAGGAGGACACATGGAAGCCGTTCAGTATGTTGGGTGTGACGCACAGAAAGAAGATGGCCCTGGGAAAGGGGGGAAATAGTTGTAATAACTTATTAGACAGTTTTAGTTGCTAATTGGGTTTTTGTTTTGTATCTCTCGCATCCGGACAAATTGTTTATAGCACGCAACTCCCAATCGTTCGCACATTGACACCGCTTGGCTAACAGCTTTCTGGCTTTGGGAATGCAAATAATAACACCGATCAAAACATCGGTGTAAAAACAAAACTGCGAAGGTTGTCAGGCGACAGATTCGGTCGGATTATGTACGCAGATCACATAATCACTTAATGGCAGTTAAAGATTCGCAGAGAGCAGCATATTTTTTAAACGTCGCTAATCATTAAACAAATCGGGCAACCGGAACGCAATGCGCAATATTTACATATCCGACTTTTTCACGTGACTCCCCCAACCCCAAACACGTAGAGTTCCGCGAAAAAGTTCGTTGAAATTCAAGTCACTCCCACACACCACACACTATGCTTATAATCGCATTTTTGAGGACTTCCTCCGGGGTGTGAGTCAGTTGAACGACTTCCAGGGCACTCGTCCTCCAATGGGAGATCGATGATAGTCTCTTCAATAGGATCCATTACACGGCCGATCCCGATCCCGATCCCGATCATGATCTGGGTAATGAAACCGGTACTCGCAATCCCACATCGCCCGATTTCAATTCACAAACGGCTTATCAGCCTCGATTGAGCGTAATGGAAATGTATTGCTGATATGACCAGATTTCCATTCTATATTTAAATCGCGTTTCGAGCATGACCATTGCCCTGTGATCGGAACCCGGCTGGAGGGATGAGTCCCAGCGATCCGTTCATAAAATTAACACCACCAGGAAGCCCCATGTGCTGTTTAGCCTCGCCTTTATCGGAAGCGGATAAAAAACCTAATTGGTTTTAGCTAAAAAATTGTGTGAATAGTTTGTGGCTTACTAAGTTAGTTCTTTAACAATTCACGAACTCAGTCAAGCGATAAAAACTAAAACCAATTAAAACTGTTTCAACGCAATCACTAGTGACGCCAGCTCCCCTGACTAATGTCAACAACAATTTCTAAAGACTCAACCTTTAGAGGCCCGTGCAGTGCATTCACTGTGATGTGGGTCAAGTGGAACGTGATTCGAGACGAGCTAAAAAGGTGCTTCCTCCACTTTTCGCTCTTTATGGCAGAAATATGATTCCTTCTAGGTGCTCCATAAAATATTTGTTTGCAAACTGAATTAATGTAGATCAGGGACCATTTATTGTACGCAAAACCCATGGCTCTTTCCCAAACGATTTAAATAACTTAATTAGTTAGTTAATAATTTAATTAAAGTTGAAACTAGTTAGCACTTAATGCCTCATTGCCAGGAACTGTTTATTAAATCACAACTATTACTAACTACCTTTACTATTCAACTTCTAATGACCATACTTCTATCCAATTATCATAACCCTCCCTAATCACAGTTGTCATTTAATTAGATGAAATCAGTTGGGAACTGTATTTACAGACTGTTTTGGATATTAAGGAAAGTAATTGGATTCGGCTAATCATAGAATTTATAAATAATTCTGGATTTTAAGCTCTACTTTGTTTTATTGATAACAAATTTAATAATCAACAAAGCTTAGTAGGTATTCTAAAGATTAGAAATTAAACCAGATGCTAATAAATAAAATTACAGAGTCCAGGTCATAAATAAAAGCAATTTAAGTTATTAAATAAGGAATTTACTTGAAGAAACGTCTATATAACACTATAACACGACTATAACAAGGCTTACTTGGACTTATTAAAAATATACCACTTTTGTTCTTATTAGTTACAATACCAATCCTAAAACACACTTCAAAAGTCCAATAAATAATTAATCATATTTATATAGATTTTTATAATTCCAACACCTTCCTTTTATGTATTTCTTGTACTTGTTCCCAGTACATTTACTTACCAGACATATGCTCCGCCGCTGCCAACGATATCCAGCTGCTTGGTTAGCAGATCCTTCATGCTGTCCTCGCTGATGAGCTCGCGGCTCTTCTCCGGATTGTCCTTCGACTGGGTCATCTTTTCGAGTGCAATATCACAGCCAAGTATATGCGGATTTCAAAAGCACGCTTCCGATAATGCGATGGCGATGCTGCCGATCTGTATCTGTCGGATTGCAGGCAGATTCGGTTCGATTCTGACACTGAACTTGGATTCTTTTGCCCGCCAATCTATTTTCGTTCTCTGTGCAGCCAAAAGCGTTGTGGTTTTTTGTATTCAAATCGGGCTTAGGCACCTGAAAAATTGTACTTTTGAGACGACGATGAGTGCATTCACTCCGTGTGGAGCAGAGATAAGGCACGGCGGCGATATATATGTCGTTGTTCCTCGATTTTATATATATTCACTTTCACTTCGCCCAATGCCGCTGATCGATGCGACAGCAGGTCGGTGTAATATTTTCGACTTTGCTGGGATGTGTTTACCTATCGATGGGTTCTATTCTCCCATTTTAACAATTGTTAATGCAGCACAGCGCAGCACATGGGGAGAGCTATGGCTTGACATACACGACACGTCTCCTATTTTCTTTGGTGAGGAACCAGCCTGTTGTTGTTTTCAAGAAAACGAAACGTATCCCTCAAGTCAAAATAAACATGAAAATAAATGAAATATTTTCGGGGCTGTTTGGTGGTTCGCCTCTCCCTCGCTTTTTGCTTCTTATGATTATATTTTTATTTATTTCTATTTTTCGTGTCCGTTGCAACGCGTGTTGCAGTGGCTGCCGGGTGCTATCCGCCGATGTTGCTATCAACTACTTGTCGCTTCGGAAGCGTCTCACAAACTAAGCCCACGGGAGGCCGATCGCGCCGTTTTGTACGCGCTTCCATTGGGAGCGGATGGGGGACCTGGGGGACATGGTCGGAGGGGCGGTACTAACACATCGCACTCGGTCAGTGCCTCAGTCCCAGTGGCAGTGCCGCCGCTATCCGTGATTCACTCTCGGGATCGTATCGGCTCGGCTCTCCTCCCGATCCAAATGTTCGAGCACATTATGTTATGTTGTATTCTTTTTGGATTCGAGTGCAAGCATTAGCAATACAATACAAAAAAATTAAATTCAGTCATAGAGTGTCTGTCTAGAAGAGAGATTCCTATGGCGAATGTCAAACCCGAAAAGTGCGCACTCTACGAATTATCTAGGGGAAAGCTCTGATTTTATGAGTATGCTCCACGTAATTGAATCATTTGAAAGCAGAACAATTACGAAATATTTGTGTATTGTTATTGAAGCAGCTGTCGCTGAAATTTTTGAAATTATTGAGAAAAAAAATTTAAGTATATTTAATGGGCTCCATTTTAATTTATATAAGCTGATTGGTTTTTCAGCAAATAATTATTATGGGGGTTCATCTAATTTAATATTATTGTTAAATGCGAAAAAAAAGCTTCTTAAAAAACGAATTTTGGACAAATTACCTATCAGTCAAAATCCAAGCAGGACTGGTAAACAAAAATGTATTTTTGAAACAAAGAAAGCGCATTCCAAATATTCCATCATTTGTTTTTTTTTATTAGAACAAAGACTGGAAATACATTTTAAAAAATTAATTCCCTTATTTTCAGGGTACTAAGATTATGACAATTAAGTAAACTTAAAATTAAAATTAATCTTTAATTTAATTAGTCACATATACAAGGGTATATTATTGAAAACGAAACCTTTTCTTCATATTTTATTTATTTCTTATTTTAACTTAATGAATATTTCGTTTAACACCTCACATAGTTTTCTCTTTACAAAACCGTTTAAAGAAATTCAATTAAAATTCCCATATGTGCATATGTCCCCTACTAAACACCCTACAATTTCTGTATTTATTACAGTAAAGTAACAATATTGCGACCTCCTCACAACGGTCTCCTCTGCTGCTCATTACACATGCGTCAAATAACAAGAAAAATATTTAAATACACTCCCGTTCGAACATATGGTGCAGACCGACCCGCTCTCTACTCAATCCCTTACATTCCATTACACTCACGACTATCCGAAACCCATGATATATTTACATTAACAGGCCGCTTAATTCCGTTGTCTCTGTATTTCATTACGAATCCCCATTTTCCAGTCGCTTTGGTGATATCCGAGAGCCGGTGGGTATTGTTTACAATTTTATTTTCGAGTTGCGCCGTTCGAAATTCCCAAAGAGAGCGTGTTTCTGAATGGGCAACAGTTGTTCCTATATACAATGTTGAAAAACTGCCATCTCATATTGTGATGTTCTCGCCAGCAGCAGCAGCTGATTTGTGAATGAGTGAATCTGGGAATATATATAAATATAGAGTTTACACCATATCTGATCCAACTCGAGCCAGAACTCTGCAGGCGAACGATCGTAATCGAACCAGATATCTACGCATTGACCTTATCGTCTGATTCGATTAGGTTTAACCTCTGTTATCGAGGGTCCTCCACAGGCCTGGCTAAGACCAATTGAACTCAATGATGCTTGATTGATTAATCGACGTAAGCAGTAACCCTGCGGATAAAGATAGATATAGTCTGACCTTGGGCTGAGATTGTTATGAGCTATATTCCGCATATTCCAATTATGGTTTTCTCTGTTACCGCATTCTAATTTGCGATTGTTCAGCTCTCTATATGGTATATATATATTCAGTTCCCAGGCTTTACAACCCATCCTGCTCATTCTATTCATCTGTGAAATTCGCACTGTGGCCGTACTAACGGTTTTAGCCACTCGGTTTAAGCCGTAATTAGAGCTCTATGTTCAGTTCGCATGTTGTGATGCACATGGGCGTGACTTCTATTAACAATTCGATTCTGGGTTGGCCCCCTCAAATTATTTTGATTCAATTACAGTCTTTGTTTTGGGAACGCACGTGCAGTATCCAATGGTTCAGTATATAATTCATATAATTCGTTTATTTTCTTATTGTGGAAAGTATTATTTCTGGACTTGCTAGTTTCCTTTTATGCAGCCAAGCTGGACAACCCAACGAGTGCTAATCTAATAATAAGCACCTCATCTACATAATCACTTACGAGTTCTTTATAATGTGATAAGGCTTTGTCAGAGAATGATATATACTTATATTCATGGCAATTTAAGCATATGTCAAGCCCAATTCAGAAATAGTTGAGAAAAAAGTGCACAGGAAAAAATGTAAACACTGTTTGCTATTAGTATACAAAGGTACTTATCAGAGGTGTACTACATATAATCAACAAAACTAATTGAATTAAATAATACACATAGTTCTAGGTCTTTAATAAATACCTTTTTTAAGTTATTTATTTTTAGATTTCCGTATAATCTTTTCCTGCAAGTTTAAAATTTACCCCACCCGTAATTATCTTTATTATAATGCCACTTAAATTTGCATTCAAAATTCCTCTCGATACCTTACCCCACACAGCAGTGGAGAAACCTCTTAAATAATAATTCAAATTTATAAAGACAGCACAATTTAACTGCTGTCCAGGCGTTGGCGAAATTTAAGTGAATGATTGCCGACGACGAAACGAGCTGGGAATTGTGCTCGAATTCGTACTAAATTCAAAGAGAACGAAACACTCGACCGAGGGCGAGACTAAGCCACAGACTAAGCCCTAGACTAAGCCGCAGTCTAAGCCCGAAACTAAGCCCGAGACAAGGTCAAGAGGACACTTTAATTTCTAAAGTCGCACAGGTTGTTATCGTTTAGGACAGCCGTTCATAGCCATAGTTGAGCAGGCTGATGATTCCCACCACAAAGGTGGTGTAGAAGGTGACATTGTAGAGATTGAGCCGGCTTAGCAGTCCCCTGAGGCGACCGGTGCCACTTCCCTCCAGGCGCCCCTTTTTCCCCATGTCGGGCATGTCCTTCCAGCTAACCACCTGGGGCCTTACCACGAATAGAGCATTCACCGCTGCCCGGACGCCACTCTCCACTGCTCCGCCGATGAGACTGCGGTAGGTGGTGCCCACAGAGGAGGAGCTGGACCAGATGATCCGGAACCAAGGCCTCCCCTGTGGCTTGTGCAGTGCCACGCTCAGCTCATCGGTGAAGCAACGGCACTCCAGGGGCTGTCGCATCTCCTCACCAAGCTGAGCGGTCAGATGGTCCAGTACCACACCCATAACATCATCCTTGTCCTCGGATAAGTGCAGCATGTAGCCATCGATGGTGGACGGACCGCACTCGTGGGCACTGATTAGTGGCTGAGAGTTAAGAAAGTTTCCCGAGTAGCCCAGTTCCGTCCAATGGGACTTTTCATATCGCAGCTGGAACTGGCTGATTAGGCAATGTTGCCTCTTTCCAGCTTTCGAGGCCACCGGTGGCAGGAATGCATCCGGAATGGGTGGATCGAACTGCAGCTTCTGAACCTTGTTCCAGGGTATGGCTAGGATCACGGCCTGTGCCGTATGCTTAGTGCCATCCACATCCGTGACCTGTACATAGTTCTTGAAGTGCTCCACTTTCACGGCTCTGGTGTTGAGGGAGATGGCAGTGAATGGGATCTGGTTCAATATGTTCTCAATCAGCTTCTGAGAGGAGACCTCGTAGAAGCTGCTCGGATAGGTGAAGTAGCTAAGGGTGAAAGTAATATTTAATAGCTTTTGAAGGGTGGCTATTTACGCTGTTTTGACTGCCAATCAATCACACCTAACGCTTCACTTTAAATATAAATACAAAACAGACCAGTTAACGTGAGTGATACATAACAATATTTAAACATTCGTTACTTTTTTACCCTATTATTCTTAGCTCAAGGAACACGCGCCAGATCTATTAAATCAAGCTATTTGTTGATGAGTAAAAAATCATTGGCTCAATCACAGACTCATCTAAAGACAGTTTGTTTTTAACCCGAAATAGATTTTTTAGGCATGAGCACCAAATCGGAAAATAACACCCTTTAAAAAGTTAATTACTAAATTATTAAAAACACGTGACAGAGTTGGAGTGAAAGGGGGTTCAAGGCCATAGTCTTATGACACAAAAAAATGTGAATAAAACAAGCAAATATTAAAAAAATATTAATAATTCATCATGCAACCCAAATATCAAACTGGCAACATCTCAATTTGGTTAATTAATGGTAATTTTAAGCAAGAATTTTAATCAAAAAAGCCTATTGATTACACAAAAAATACATCGGAATAATATAATTCTATTTGCATAGCACTATAAAAATTATATATTCGGTAATGTATTACCCTAAGAATTTAAATAATACTACTTAAATGATGTACATAATATAAATATAATATGAAAAGAAGATTTTAATAAATCAACAAAATATTGAGTTCCATATCACATCGAAAATATCGTACATTGTGATATTTTTTTTTTTTTTTTTTATACCCTTGCAGGGTATCATAATTTTAATCAAAAGGTTGATAAGTAGAGAAGAAGTCATTTCCGACCCTATAAATCATATATATTCTTTATAAGCATCGATAGGCAAATCGATCTAGCCATGTCCGGTCAAAATTTCTTTTCCTCAAAAAATTTCACATTTTCAAAAATAATATAAGGGTTTCATCGTTAAAATTGTCAAAAATTGGAAAAAAGTTTAATTTTTTAAAATGTTAAATTGAGTATGCTGAGTTATTAAGCTAACAAAAACTAACATAAGAACGATCTCTGAATTAAAATTAATGTATTTTTTGATAAGTTATGAAATTTTTAAAATTTGATTTGTTGAATAAATTGTTATATTAAAATATCAACAAATTTTGATTCAAAGAATGCAAATATTTTAAGCTTAGTTATGAGCGATTTCCGAAACGATCCTATAATTTAATTGTAAACTGCAGGGGTATTTAAACTTTGTTCTTTCGAAGTTAGTTTGCTTTCTTGTTGATATATGAATATCAATTTAATATTAATATATCTATATTTTTAGCTTTCCCTAAACTTATGAAAGATTAAATATTAATTACTAATCCTTACAAATCAATCATCATCCTGAGACCGCCGCAGGAGCTGCACACGGACATGAACACATCGTAGAGCACCTCGTTGGCTGGAACGCCACAGACCACTTCCACCAGGTTGAACATAAAGTTCCTCGACTTGCTAAAGAACAAATGCTGGCAGATATGCTGCTCCATATTCGAGACCCGTTCACGAAGGCTAATTAATTGTAATTAAATTATTAAAATAAAATTAAAAGGAATTCTATTCGCAACCCACTTGAAGTTCTTCGAGCGAAACTTATTCATCCGCAGCTCCAACATATTGATGTATCGCTCCAGCTCGAAATTGGCCGGCAGAGCGGTTACTCCTTCATCCAAGTCCCAGCACCTGCTGAGCCCTTCGTTGTCACTACTCCGCCGTCTCGGTGTCATCTCCACGCTGGCCAGAATGGAGACCATGTCGAACTGCTCCCTGTCCAAGAATCTGATGCCATTCTCACCCAGCTGACCGCCCAGCACGTCACTCGCCTCGATGATCCTCAGCTTCAGGGAGCTCTCCTTGGTGAGGATCTTCAGGGCGGAGGCCAGTCCCGAGAGACCTGCTCCCACAATGAGTACGTCTAGTTCCGGGGACTGTGTGCCAAAGGGCAATGCCATTTAGTCCTGGAATCAACAGCGTAGAGCAGATGATACACGGATATATTTGGCATTTTATTTGCCGAAAGAAAAATGTGAAAAGTTTTGCAAAGATGGTTTGACATGCTCGCAATGTCTTACGGATTTTGAGTAGCTTGAAAATAAAAGCTAGGTATACTTTTAGGCCGTCAAGATGTAGGGAAAATTGAATCAGGGTACGGCTTTAGCCTAATTATAGTGCAAATAGATATGAAAACATTAAACTGGGGCATATATCAATCAAGATAAGATCTAAATAAAACAAACTTTATAGCACAGGTAATATACAAATGGGTGTGATTGGAAAGGTAGTAATAATTCCTTTTGTTATTAAAATATAAATTTTTTCTTCTATAGATAGAGACACAGAGTTTAATAAATAACATTTCTAATTTAATGTAGCAATTCTAAAAAATACGTCTTCAAGATAAAATATGAACTTTTTGTTTCATTAATTGTGTTCATATTTATATTTAAAACAATGTGAAGTCATTTACGACCCTATAAATCATATATATTCTTGATCAGCATCGATTGGAGAATCGATCTAGATATGTCCGGACAAAATTTATTTTTTTCAAAATTTTGAAAATTTTATAAGGGGTTACATCATTAAAATTGTCAAAAATAGTCAAAAATTTTACTTTTCTAAAATTCTAAATTGAGTATGCAGATTTATTAACCTAATAAAAACTAACATAGGAAAGCTTTCCGAATTAAAATTTATTCATTTTTGACTTAGTTATGAACGGTTTTTATTTCCATTTTCCTGATTTAATGTCTAAATGCAAGGGTATTCAAATTCAGCATTTCGAAGTTCGAGTTCTTTCTCGTTTCCTATTATTTTCACAATTTAAAACCAACTTATAATCGTATTTTCTCGGTGACGTATACTGCGGTATCCAATTCCAACTCCAGATGTCCGAGACTTACCTTGAGTTCGCTGAACTCTCTCACTCACTCGGCTATATCAAGTCATTCCGAGTTTTAATCAATATATACTCCGATTTACTTGGCCCCAGACAAGTCTGTTGCCATATGCTTTCTGGGTTATCAATGCCATTGCTTTGACAGTGAACTGCTATCAGTTTTATCTACGACATATAGTAATTATAAATTGTACACAAAATGGAAACATATGGCAGGCAGACCGCTTTCCGCTCGGAGCAAGTGCAGCCAGAGCTTGCACTCAATGAGATGGGACCGCTTTCTTATCAGTCGCGACCGTTTAGACCTAATTTTTTTATTTAATGAGCGAAATATTATCGCCTCGGAGTATGCCAGTGTGAGAGACGCCTCAATAAACAAAGTGGTCGTAAAGTTCGTTGAATCGCAACTGCACCCACGGACCGGGGAACAAGTCACAATTACTTGTCTTTTATTAAAATGCTTGTAAAGGTAAACAAATAGAGGGAATGGAATGAATTGTATATACCCCTCGGGGAAGAGTAGATGCGCAGTATGCTTAAATTCGTTGACATCGTCTATGGCGCAAGCCAATTGAGGCCGTCTGCCTCGATTGCAGCAAGTTGCTGTGGGTCTTCAATTAGCTCGACTTGGCGTCGAGCATCCCCCTCAGCTCCTGGGTGGCCACCTCTCCCTCCTCGGCGGTTTCCTCCGACGCCTGCTTCTTGCCGAAGTTCTCCCCATCCTCGATGGTCTCGGGCATGGGCTTGTTCAGGGTCTCCGGCAGCAGCAGGGACATCAGTCCGGCGGTGAGAGACAGAGCACCGCAGATGATCAGGGGAAGAGGGCGCCAAATCTCGCCCAGAAGCTTGAGGTAGGGCGCTAGTATGCCTCCCACTCGGGCCACCATGGAGGAGGCGCCCAGACCCACGTTTCGCACCACAGTCGGGAACTGTTCCGCCGAAAAGATGTATATGGTTCCGTAGGAGGAGGTGATGGCCAACTTGCCTATCATGGCGCAGGCAATGATCAGCCAGTTCATATCACTGGGCACAAAGATGGTGGCCAGCAGGCTGACACCGGCTATCATCATGGTGCCGCACAAGATGGAGCGGCGACCCCAGCGATTGAGGGTGAAGAGGAGCAGCACATAGCCGGGAATTTCCACTGCACCGGAGATCATGAAGTTAATCAGTTGGTTTCCACCCAAATTATTGGTGTTCCACGACAGGCCATAGTAAACTCCACTATTTACAAACCAATCGAAGAAGATCAGCAGGGTCTTACGGCGTAGATTCGGGTACCGGAGGAGATCAAATACGGTTGCCGCCGGCTGGGAGGCAGTTAGCTCGTCCTGCTTCTTCTTCTCCGCCACCTCGTCCACCAGCTGCTCATAGACTTCGCTTGGTATTTCGACCCTGTTCTCCTTGGCTGCCTTTTTGATGATCACGAATGCCTCATCCTTGCGACCCTTCAATAGCAACCAGCGGGCAGATTCCGGAATGATCCAGTAGTAGCAAATGAAGAGGAGTCCCGGCAGCGTTAGAGCAATCTGCAGCCAGCGCCAGTCATGGATAAAGTAGGCAAAACCAGCAGTCAGCATGAAGCCCACGGAGAAGAACATTTGCATGGCCACGCCAGCAAAGAGGCGGTACGAGGAGCCCACCATTTCCAGGGCTATCACGTAGGCCACCAGAAAGACACCCGAGGTGGTGGCGCCCACAATCATCCGGGATATGGTGTAGCTGAAGTACTCCGGAGATACGGCAGCCAGAACGCCAAAAATAAGTTGAATCACCAGCGAGGCAAAGAAGGTGGGCTTTCGTCCCAGCTTATCGGACATCTGGCCAAAGATAAAGCTCCCCAGGAGCACGCCCAGCATGAAGAGGGAGTCACTGGTGGCGCTTAACAGGCTCCGGTTGCACACCATATCCCATTCGGTGACCGCACTGTTGAGGTACTTGCTCTGATCGTAGATGTAGCGGGAACAGGCCGTGGTCCGGTTGCTGCTCCGGGGAATGCTGCCATTTAGAAACTCCTCGGAGTACTCCACATCGTAGTAGGAGCAGGAATCACCCTGCGGATACGAGAGATTCCACAGGTGAGGCGCCAGCTCATACCGACTTTCATCATTCTCGAAGGGCAGGGCACAGCGGAAGTCAGGCTTTGCCAGCAGGAACACCCCAGCCAGCTTGTGGAAGGCGCAGACAATGGCCGGCAGACAAAGAAGGTAATAGATTCGCTTCTGGTAGCGACCAAACTCCCCCAGGTGGGTGATGACGTCGTCGTAGCCCATTTTCGAGTCTAGGCCACGTTAAGCAGGTGTCACACTGATTTAAGGTACCGTCGAGTGTCGTACGATAACTGGCGAGCGGTTCAATGGTCGCAGCTGCTGGCTCTTCGTAGCGACACCGTGACGTATGCGCAATTTGTTAGCGAGGCGCGTGGCGTTGCGTATACGCCCGGTGCATCCAGTGCAACGTAACCCGTTTGATTGTGCAACGATCTGGTTGGAATTTAAGCCAGGGTTTTCTTCTAAGCTGCTGCAGCCTCCAGTGTGAGTAGGTGGCCCACTGATCTGCGTATCGGTCCCGAAGTGGTGGCGAAGTGCGCGATCAACCGCTCGCCAGCTGCGTCAGTCTCAGACTAAACGCAAAGAGCGCTTCAGGGTTCTGAAGAACCCAAAACGCTCCACGAGCAGCGCGGTGCGTGCGCGTCTCTGTATCAGTGCGAGCGTTCTAATCGTTTTTGGTTTGTGTGTGTGTGTGTGAGCGTTCCACCCTGTGACCAATCTATTGATCACCCAACATTAAAGCAGAGTTTTCATGGAAAACAGGGTTGGAAAAGGAGGCTGCAATGCAGCAGCTGCCTTGCTTATTTGGGCATTGCACAAACCCGAGTAATTAACTGCAATAGGAGTAGCTCCTTGGCAGAGAAAGAGTCCAACGAAAGTGGCCTGATTTCAAATGCCAAACCAACTGATGATGGCCAAGCATAAATTCCATTCTTTTGCAGAAGATCATACACCTGAGGGCAATAAGGTGCTGTCTTAATTCTATAATTAGTTTGAAACAGATACTTAATCTTAAAAAGAAGAAAAGGTAACACTTAATAAATATACATATGAAAAATTAAATCAACATTTTAAAACATTTTAAAACACCTTTTTATTAAATTAATTATCTAACCTGTTTTTTCAAATGTAAGTTGATTTAATGCATTAATTTATCAAATATTTCTTTTAAATACTTTGTCAAATAAAAACGGAATGAGTACATATTATTTTGACCTCAGCTGTGCCTGCTTATATATGCTCCCCGTATATGTATGTATATGGGGGGACCTTGTACATCTATTCGGCGGACGCTCTCCTAAACGCTGCTCTTCTAATCAGTTCTGGCCGCTCTTCGACTGAGCTCTCTTCTTCGGCTGTTATCTCGAAAACATTTACAAGCTTGTTCAAATTCGAAATGGAATATTAAGAGGCTGGGCAGAGTGCAAGTGCACTCTGAATTAGTGCACCATAAATAGACGACGACGACCCACTTTAAGATCAAGTGCAAATTGCTTCTCCGAGGGCTGTGGGTTATGCAAATCCCAAGACTCGGGCGAGGCCATATTTCGTGAGAACTAATTATTTTTTTTTTTTTTTGGCAGTGTAGCCAAATGTTGCTTGCTTAGCTAAACACAAAGTAATCTCGTGATTCGGAAGTCTGTGCGGGTCCAATTCTCAAATGGTAGTCTCGTGTTTAGGCGACTGATAAGAACCTGTTACGAAAATAAAAACAACGGAAATACATTTCAGATTCCCCGGACAGGTCAAATATTCAATCACATTATGTCCGGGTTTATGTGGAACATTATTAGGTTTCTTCTCTGGAAAATACTAGATTTTATTTAAAAATTGGTTCTTGGAATACATGCATATAAATGTTATTGGTTAACTAGAATTAAATAGATAGGAATAAATTATGCAGCGGCACAACTGGGTCGAGGGATTCGTGGCATATCATCCACATTTTCCATAGGATTTCCCAGGGAAAGTCACCCCTAATTTATAGAAAACCTTCTGTCTCTCTTCGTGGCCTGCCGCTGCTCCCTGGCTAAATGCTAAACATGATCTATTCGGTGCTACCTATTCTTTTAGGTTTTTTGTGTTGTCTTCTCTTTTTTTTTTTCTTTTTTTGGTTACGTGAGATTTCAGAAATGATATAATACTTGGTCTATCTTTTATGGTAAATGCCCAGCCTTTGGCCTGGCCGAATTCTAGATGCCCTGTGTGCCCTCGTCTGTCGCTAATTTCGCTGGAAAAGTTCAAGCGGGTTCATTCCTTGAGATTTCCTAGAACTTTTGGCCATTGGAAGTGTGTCCATTGCTGTCGGCTCCCTTGAGTGGCTGCGCCTCCGGCGTCTGGCGCAGCTCTTGGCCCGTCTCCAGGTAGACATCACCCTTGGTCTTCTTTCCAAAACGCTCTCCATCCGCTATGGTCTCCAGCATGGGCTTGTTGTGCGTCTCGGGCAGCAGGAGCGAGAGCAGACCCGCTGCCAGGGATAGGGCTCCGCAGATGAGCAGCGGGAGTGGCAACCAAATGGTGGCCAGGTAGTTGAGGAACGGCGCCATCATCCCACTGATACGGGCCACCATCGAAGCAGCGCCCAGGGCAACATTCCGCACCACCGTCGGGAACTGCTCGGCGGAGAAGATGTACACGGTTCCATACGAGGCTGTAATGGCCAGCTTGCCCAGCATGGCGCAGGCCACCACGAGGGTGTGCATCTGCGTCGGAATGATCACGGTGGCCAGCAAACTGAGTCCAGCGACCACCAGGCAGCCGCAGAGGATCGATCGCCTGCCCCAACGGTTCAAGGTCAGGAGGAGAAATATGTAGGCCGGTATCTCCACAGCGCCCGAGATCACGAAATTGAGCAGCAGATTGCCACCGAGATTGTTGGTGTTCCAGGAGAGGCCATAGTAGACGCCACTGGTCACCAGCCAGTCCAGAAAGATGAGCAGCGTCTTCTTCCGGAGATTCGGGTAGCAGAAGAGATCCCAAACGGATGGCGGTGGTCCCTCATCCCTCTGCTCCTGCTCCTGACCCTCCAGCTTCTCCTTGGCCTTATCCTCGGCCGTTTCACCCTCGTCCAGAAGCTCGCTCAAGACCTCGCTGGAGATTTGCACCTTATTGAAGCGCGCCGCCCTCTGCATATTGGCAATGGCGCAGTCCTTCCGTCCCTTCGAGAGCAACCAGCGGCCAGATTCCGGAATGATCCAGTAGTAGCACAAGAAGATGAGTCCCGGCAGCGTTAGAGCAATCTGCAGCCACCGCCAGTCATGGACAAAGTAGGCAAAGGCCGCCGTCAGCATGAAGCCCACGGAGAAGAACATCATGACGAAAATTCCAGCGTAGAGGCGCTTGGCTGGGCCCACCATTTCCAAGGCGATGACGTAGGCCACCAAGAAGACGCCCGACGTGGTGGCGCCGACCATAACACGGGCCAGCGTGTAGGTGAAGTACTCAGGCGCCACCCCGGCCAGGACGCCGAACAGGACCTGGATGACCAGCGAGGCGAAGAGGATAGGCTTTCGGCCATACTTGTCGCTCAGCTGGCCAAACACTATGCTTCCCAGGAGCACGCCCAGCATGAAGAGCGAGTCGCTGGTGGCGGCCATAAAGCCCCTCCCGCACACTAGGTTCCACTCGGTGACGGCACTATTTAGGTACGTACTCTGGTCGTATACGTAATGCGAGCAGTCTTTGGTCCGGTTGCTGCTCCGGGGAATGCTGCCATTGAGGTATTCCGCCGAGTAGTCCACGTCATAGTAGGAGCAGGTTTCCCCCTGGGGATACGAGAGGTTCCACAGGTGGGGCGGCAATTCGTACCCACTGCCCTCCTTCTCGAAGGGCAGAACGCAGCGGAAGTCGGGCTTGGCCAGCAGGAACACTCCGGCCAGCTTGTGAAAGGCCACCGGTATGGAGGTCAGACAGATGAGGAAGTAGATGATCTTCTGGTAGCGCCCAAAGTCGCCCAGCTTGATGATGGCCTCGTCGTAGCCCATTTCGTTGGAATTTTGTGTACGAAACTCGTAAGACTTGCCGCGCGGCGAACAGCTGGTGACCGCTTTCTTTGAGTTGCGCGGAGACAGTGAATCACTAAATCGGAAACGCTACGCTTTTTGGCACTATCTCGTGATGTCTGCGCACTCAGTTCGTCAGAGCCCAAGTTCCTCCGTTGCCCACAAGCTCCTCCGTTGACGTGTACTTTGCTCCCGAGCCGAAGCGAGAGAAGAACAGAGAGAGAGAGAGAGAGAGCGTGGCCTCTCTAATTCTCTTTCACAGCAATTATCGGCCAACACGTGTTGCCAAAAAAACTGGCCAAAGTGGAAGAGGGAAGCGGAACCACTAAGGCAAACGGGGAACTGGATAACACACTGTGGACACTCTAATAACTCAAGACCCCGGGGACGATGCGTCACCTAGAACCGGCGAAACCGAACTGAGACCAACTGAAAACCGCCAACATCGAGTGGGAATGCAGTGACTGAGGCAGACAGGGCCGCCGCCGGCTGTATACCCGACCCGCTCATATACTCGGAATATGTTTATGTTGGCAAAAAGAACCGGCAACAACCACAGCTATAGCCACAGCGGCACTGGCACTTCTCCGACCGATACCAACAACAAACAAATGCCGGCTGCATGCGCACTCTCAGTGGAGCAAGGTACTCTCTAACGCTCTCGCGCCCTCTCTGGCGCTCCCTCCAGTACCGACCGGCACACACACTCTCCCTCGGATTGAGTGAACAAGACAAAGCCACCCTTAGCCCAAGTTGGTAGCAAATTACAGCGATCCCTGGTGCATTACAAAATGCTACCAATCTGTATATGCACAGCCGGCGCAAGGGAGTCAGGTAAATAGAAATTCGAACGCTTCTTTGTTTGGACTTTCGTCAATCAGGCGATCGATCACCCGAAGATCTTTCTGTTCTCTTCTCTCCTTCTCGGCTTCCAATTGAGCCGCTCCAGCGTCGGGCAATTAAGCGAATCGTTAAAAGAGTAGTAATGAAAGAAGAGGCCAAGAGCCTCGACTGGCAGATACCCATTGGATGTTTTAGAATCTAGAATCTAGATTGTTCTATTAAATATATTGCATACCATAAAATGTAATCTGTACTGAACTTACTAGGTTTAAATTTGTTTAAAGGTTGATATCTAACTAATTAAAGATGAGTCTGTTTTAATGGTTCAGCTCGCTTTTTGACCAGGCTTACTATACGAGTACTTATGGCCATGCCTTTCTCTTTTTCTGTATTTAGACAAACATTATTAAATAACAAAACGATTTTTTAATGTTATTCTTTGTTATATACTTATATTTTTTCTTTAAAGACAATATGCCCTGGTTTGTGGAACAAGTACCGAGTATCAGAACTCTCTCAATTGGGGCTCAATTGGTAAGCGTGAAGCAGTCCCATTACGGGGAACTCAAATCAAAGGCGGAAAATCGTACGATATATTGAAACATCGTCATCATCAAGTTCTTCTTTCGCCTGCATTATTTACCAGAATCTTCCGACAGCGAAAATATTCTACGCCTTCTATTTTTATTACTTTAAGTAATATTTAGAAGGCCAAACTTATCAGTGAGTTTATTGATTTATCAGTTAAGCTATAGAGCGATCACATCGTAGAGGAACTGAGTAAATAGGGTTTACTGTCGGATCATTATCGATATATGTAAACACTAGAATAAAATAAAATTAATATTTCAATAATAATTTCAATCAGTGAGCAAATGTTATTAAAACTGAAAAACTTGACGTTTCATAATTTTTGAATTTAAATTTGAACTGTTACATGCGCCTAACAGACACATTGCTCGCTGTTAATTATTAACAGTTGCCATACCAACTCATCAGGTTAGCAACGGAGACAGCTGGCAACCTCGTGCACAGTATATATTATATAGTGAATATACTAAAAGTGTATATCCAAATTCCTACTATTTTGATTCCACGTCACCGTACTCGCTCTCGTTCTCTCTCAATAACTCACCCGCTCTCTCACTCTCTCTATCTTAACATTTCGTATCTATCGCAATTTATATGGTATTTCACGAGAATGAAGTGGTTTTTTTTGTTGGTTCAAGAAGTATTTTCTATCGATTGTTGCGCGGTCACACTGCTCAGCTGTTGCGCGCCATTTCGTAAACAAAGTCGGAACTCTGCGGTCGTCGTCGAAAGATCCTCGCCTAAAATCGAAATTGAGAAAACACAATACACTTTTTGATTACCGTCAAGTTAACAACAATTTCGGGAGCGTCGCGCAACGCCGCCGGACAGTTATAAATTCCAGTAAACAAACAAACAGCACGGCAACCCGAAGCCAACGCCGCGACGGAGATCGCTTCCAAGTGGTTCCTGCCTCAATGTGTGCTCGTGTCCGAAAAGGAGTTCTTCACTGACCAACGTTAACCGCTCGCTGGACGAGATCTACAGCAGTTCACAGGTAAGTAGGCAGCAGGCACTCACTCACCTGTAAAGGCGGATTTGCGCCACTCGCATTTTGTTGACTTGCAATTCTCTTTGCTTTGAGCCCTGACATTGGCAAATTCTTGCCCACGGAATCGGTTTGTGGATTTGCGGTGGTGCAACCAAGCAATCGATTTGCCAGACGCGGAAGTTTATATGCCCTAACTAGGGGTGCATTAGCTGTGGGCAGGGGCTTACAATTAAGTTCGTGAATCAGTTTGAAAGGCTTGATTGCCAATTAATTGGCCATAATTGGTCTTATTGTTATAGTTTAGATTTGTGTCATTTTAGAGCAGAATTCGAATTAATACCTGACAAGATCAGTGTTTTGACATCCTTGGTTTGAGTAAGCGTATACGGCACTTTCATAGATCCCCTATATTTCTTGTACAATCATAGTTTGCTTTTTATTTTTTGTCTGTTTACTAAGGGGAGGGAATGGGAATTGGAAATGGGAATGGAGGGAGAACGTGACCGTGAATCAAACATCTCTCTGTGTGAGTCCCACCCTCTCCGGGTGCCAGTGTCACCACCAATTCTCACATTTCCCACAGCTGTCCTCCTCCTACCATATCCCGCACCCCCGCACAACCATGTACACACACACAGGCAGACTGGAACGGCCCGAAAGACACAGAGAGAAATATGGTTCTATTTATAGACAGAGCCAGGCAAAATGCAAGGCCCCATGTCAGCGTCGCCTTTGTTGCTGTTGGGTTTTAAAGCAAACTCAAAGATAGATTTGTGTCCCGACCATTTTAATTGAGTGCGGAAATGAGCAAACATTTCTTGGAGCCCCCGTCCCAGGGACACAAGTGTCGTTCGGCTGTCGACTGTCTGTGTTTGTGTTTCTCCATTCGAAGCACATTTCGTTTATTTATGTGGAAGACAAGCCAGAGATGGGAGTGAGCAGGCCTCATGGCGTCGCCCTCGCTCCTTGTTTTGCTGCGCATGCGTGTCCGTGTCAGCGGACGTGTCCATTGCCCATCCTTATCTGTGAGCACTTTAGAGCCAATTAAATGGGTTCGACAATGCCCTTTCCTGTAGCGCAGGGTATTAGCTATCCTGGGGTGAAGTTTCGATTCTCCTTTTCCAATGACGAATAAAGGCTATAGAAATATTATTAATAATTTTCGAGGCATGTGCCTGTGCAATATCCTGCTGCCAAAAAGGGTGTACGCAAAGTCTGAACTTTTTTGGAAGTAGAACCGGCAGTTTATATCGCTATTCCTTGCTGTCACTCAAGCCCTGCCCCGATCAACCCCTTCCATCCGACCTAACCGAGGCTCAACACGCGCCACACAGCTGACAGGAACTCGGCATGGAAGGCGATCCTGATCCTCATTCTGATCGCACCATTGTCACCGCCGACAGCTGCTTATATTCGAGCCCCGAAATGGAGGCTTTGCTGAGAAGTGTAGTGAGTAAGCCCTCTTGGAGTGGCCACTGAATGGAGGATGGGTTCGCTATGCGTTGGAACAATTTGCATATAATACTTGCGCACACAAAAATAAATATAAATATATATATGTATGTATATAAAAAAAAAGAGAAACACCGAAACGGCCGACGACGACGATTGTTCCGAGATTCGCCTATTCCGCCGCACAGATCGGAGTGAAAGTCAGCCCGAGTGTGTGTGGTTTAATTGCAGCTTTTGTTTTGATTGTCGATTAGCATAATTCGAGATGTATTTTTCTCTCCAATCGCGGTTTCGCTGATTGTTTTCATTTTATGTTTCTCTTGTTTTATGTATGACTTTTTCTGTGCAGCTAAAGCAGCAGCAACAACGCAACGGCGCAGCAGCGCGTGCTTTTAAAACTGTTTGGATTAATATTCGAAAAGGAAATGGGGGAACTTACCGTTTTCGATTTCCTGCTGAATATCGTGATAAGACTGTGTCACGAATGGCAAATGGTGATTCAAACTATATAGTTGCATCATCGAAAAGTATGGAATGCAGTTAGGATTTTGATAAGAAGTTAGTTTTATACCATTATTTTTAATCTATTTAGATACGTAGAGAGGCTTAAGAAAAGTCAAGTAATAGAAATAACAAACTGCTGTCATAAACATAGAGATTTTGCAGATCTTCATAGAAAATAGAGTCTTTCAACCTACGCTCTCAGTTGCTTTTTTCAATTCAACTGTTACTTTCGTTTGATTAATGACTTGTAGTCTATTTATAAATTGCCAATCATTATATATACGTTTCAACACACAGTCTGAAAATAGATTTGCATAGTTTAAGCTTTTGGTGGGAAAAAGGCACGACTTTCGGCATTCATTTCCCCTTGTTTTTTTTAGACCTACCAATAAATATCCATATATTTTCTCACAAACAAAAGAAGTGACAAAAATAATTACATTTCACCTGTATTTCTTTTTTTGCGGCTGGTGACCGTCAAACAAGTAATTGCGCTGAGAATGGAGATAAGATTAAATGTGAAACGATAACACACATTAGGAGAACACACAGGCACAACCAAACACAACGCCGACAAATAAAAACAAAGGCCTGGTTAACATGGGCCCAAAAAATGTTGACCCAAAATAAACACAACTTGAAGAGCAGCCTCTAAATTCTGGTCTCCCCTTTTGTTTTTAATATTTTTTCTGGGAGTTTAAATATCCGCCAAGTGCAAAGTAACGACTTGCAGCCGGCGACGGCGAGCCATATGGAAAATCTGTGACCATGTGTTGAGGGAAATGAGTTACGGGGCCGTCACACAAATCCATCAACGTCGGGGAGACGCTTGGGTAATGGTGGTAATGGTAATGGCAATGGGAATCGGATCGACTGGGTCTGGGTCCCGGTGAGATTTGCATTTTAATTGCATCTCGCAACAGTAGGAAGCGGCCAGAGTTAATTGCCGCTTGGCTTACAAAGGCAAAAACTGAAAACTTAAACTAAAAAAAAACTCTTCAGTTGTCGGCAGTTTTCCGGACTTTTTGGATTTCTTTTCACGAGTCCGCATTAATTGGTTCCACTTGCGCGACGTTTAACTATCGACATCTTTGGTTCGGCATTTCTTCGCGGTAATCCCCTCCCTCACCGCAATGCAAGTCGTTGAACTCGCTGCATCAAAAAGCACTGGACTCTGCATTTGTGGGGCAGCCCCCACTACAAAAACTACAACAAAAAACTTAAAAAACCAACTAAAATATTAAAAACAAAAAAAGAGTATAAAAAAGGAAAACAAAAACAGACGGCAAAATAACAGAAAAAGATTGAACAACAAAACGCTACGAAAACTTGTTTCGGTTGTGACTTTTGCGCATGCTCAGCGTTTTGCTTGCCAACGCTTTACGGTACAGTGAACTCTGCCCCCTCCGTCATCGTTCCCGTTCCTCCCCCCCTTGCTCTGCCTTTCGAACTGAAACAAAATCATGTTCCTGTGACGTTTGAGCCATAAATTTAACAGCTGCTGCAGCTTCTATTGTTGCAAGTGTAATTGCTTTTCGACTTGTTTTAGTTTACTTTTTTATTTGGAACTGTTTCCCCTCTTTTTTTTATTTGGGCTCCGATCTTGGTTGGGCTAGTTAGCCGGAGTGACTCATTAGTGCTCCCATTTGGTGGCCACTGGCAGCTGCAAAATCTGCGGCCAAAACGAGTTCAACTGGTTGCCCAGTAATGCCTTTTGAAAATCCATGCAACCAGTACACTTGAAAATCTGAAATCAATATTTCGATTGAATTTTAGTCAGAATTAAATATATATAATACATTTATTCAGTCAATTATAGTCTGTAAAACCCCTGTTCTTGCAACTGAGGAGGATAAGAAATAAGGATTATTGATTTCTCACTGTGTATTGTGTGAATTTGTGGCCCCCGCGCTGCGCAATCGCAATGGGAACCTGTCGCACCGTTAGTGCGTCCCTCCAATCCCGTGGACTCGTTTCCCAGCTGCCGAGCTGCCGGAGCTCTGATCTCCAAGCTCCTGCCTCACGTGAGCCCGTCTTGACTGGTTGAACTTGATATTGATATTGGTGCATGGTCAAGGAACTGACCAACTGGTTTCTGGAATCATAGGAGAGCAGTTCTCGTTGGTTAGCACGGCCCAAACGATGCCAAGCTGGCCAACAATGCCCATCCAATGAATTGCTTTGCGCGAACTATTCGCTTAACGGTTCGAGCTTCTTTCTCAGCGATTGTGACTCCAAAATGTGGCCCCCGATTCTCCTCGATGGCTTGGGGCCCCAGGAAAGTGTCGCAATTATTACACAATTTTCGTGGTTCGCTGTCTGGTTGTTGCTCGTTCCTCAACTTTGTTTTAATTTTCCTTTGTGTATGCCCACAAGCAATTTGAAATTTTTTTCGGTTTTCCACAGTGGTAGAATGGCACACGAGCTCGTCTGGTTATGAAATTGTGGCAATTGTTTCGCTTGCAATATTGTTTCGTCTTCACGTTTTCCCCCTACTTTGTTTCGGTTTAGATTTCCACAGGGAAGTGGCATAGATATAGTATCCAAAGGGGAACCCCAAAAGAAATGGGTCATCGTATATGAAAGACTAGATGGCAATGGATTGAATAACCAACCACACAATATTTCCCAACTTATAGGAAATCAATTTTATAACGGAACGGATACGTGTTAAATTAATGGGGCAATATTAACAATCAAGCATATAGGGTTACCAATTCAAATGTTACCATTTAATTGGTTTAAAGTTAGAAGAAAGCTTTTAAATTTCCCAATGAAAATTCAATTGATTCGTTCGAGAAAGATCATCTTCTCACATCACTCACAGATTCCCTGCAACCCAAAATTTCTTAAAATTTGTTACCTTCATTAATTTTAGTCGTTTTCAAATTTTAAGCCCCGAAGGCAAGGCCCACAACAGCTTGCCCTTAGCCGCTGTGTGCATTTCTTTAACTGTTTTTCATTTTTCCCCATTTCCTACCAACATTGCGCAATGCAACAGAATGCATAACAAAGCACACGACAAAACAATGGGCCCCATAACGAACAACATGATTATTAATTATTCAGCAAAGGCTACAAAAAAACCAACTAGAGAAACAACAACAACAACGGCCCAAACGGTCACTTGCTGGTCATTTATTGTGTTTGGTTTCGGCTTTGTCCATCGCCCGGCGGCTCTTTTGGCCAAACCGGAAGCTGAACCTCGTCGCTCGCAACGGTAGAACAGTTTTCCATGACACACAGCATTAAACACTTTTTCCAGGCCCTTTTCCATAGTCAGTAATAAGTCAAAAATGGAAAAAAAATAAATAAATTTAAGTAACAAAATACGTGATTTACACGAAAGAACATTATTTGTAAAACTGTTTTAACAAGTAAATTATTTTGCAAAGCTCTCAAGATGCTTAAATATTTTAGAGAGTAAAACACATTTTTAATATGCAATACGTTTTACCATATTTTAATGAGTAAAGCCAATTTTCAATTAGTTGTTCGTTTTAATTTTTAAAAATTGGAAAAGAAATGTAATGTTTTAAAATGTTAAATTGAGTATGCAGATTAATAACCAAACCAAAACTAACAAAGTAAAACTTTCCGAATTAAAATTAAATCTGTTTTGCCTTACCTATGAGATTTTTGAACTTTGATATTTAGGAAAAAATGTCATATTAAATTATCTATTTAAGAATTTGAATATTTTTAGCTGATGATCGATTTCCGATTCGATCGTATAATTTATTAAATAAAACACAAAGACAGCTTCGTTGGAAAATATTACAACAATTTTTATTACAACTATTCTTATCATAACCATAGCAATAAAACAACATTACATGGCCTTTCATCGAGGCCCTATAAAAGCCCTTACTCTGTTGTCCGATTAAGTACAACAATTTGAGTACAACTTTCAATTTTCCTGCACATTTGAATAACCAACATGCAAATTAACTAATAAACTAGACATAAAATCTTAACAAAGATAGCCCAAATAAAGTGTAACCATAAATAAAAGCTAGTAAAAAGTAAAAAAAAAACTTTCCCATACTTTGTCAGGTGTGGGGTTCGAACCCACGCTCTCTCTCGAGAACCAGAGCTTAAATCTGGCGCCTTAGACCGCTCGGCCAACCTGACTTGTTGGGCGACGTTGACTAAACGCGCTATAGACGTGAACGACTACCTGGTCGGCAGCGCCTGCCTTGATTCTCTTGTATGCTAAAAGGGGGTGTTTTCTCCCCTGAGTGTGTCAGTGTTTTTATCTCTTTGTTTGAATAATGAAAAGCGTTTGCATTGCCCACCGAAGGTATCAAGCCAAATTGTACTCAATTAGAGCCAGTTTAGCTCCCGTTAAAGGCAATACACATAGTAAAACGATGCTGGATACATAAAGGAAATTAAGAAAAACATTTTAATTCTCCTTGACTGGGGCTCGAACCCGTATGCTTTGGTTTTTTGTGCCGAATCCCATGCGGCGGGCAGGGCAGGTCTGTAGGTATATTTTTAGAACGCTGCAAAGACAGAGAGAAAGATAGATTTGTATTTGCGAATTTCCCTTGTATTGCGCTTTGTTTCGTCTCATTTCGTGGTATTGATCAAGCGATTACTGTGCCAGGGCAGATAGGCAGACAATGGCCGACAACTCCTCCCCCTGACGACCTCCCGCAACCCCGGATTGCGAAGAGTACGCGCAGCGTATGCCTGTCAGTCAGTCACAGCCCAGCGAGCTGCGCTCTGTTTTTCCTGGTTTCTCTTTCCTCGTTCCTCTTTGCCGGCACATATTTAGAAAGCTCTCCTGCCAAAAGCTTTTGGTGATGCCGCTATCAGAGATGCATCTTGTGGAACCGAATCGCTAATCCGCTGCTGAATCCGCTTGTTCCCATCTTAATCGCTTTGTTTACCAGAACACACAGAGCTTGAAAGCTTGTCCCAACCCCCTGTAGCCCATGTAACACCCCTTGTTGAAACGCCCGTCAAGCAGCTGTTGCGTCTGCGGCGAATGAATAACTAAATTTGCCAATTGGACTGAAACATAAGCACCGCGGGATGGCTCAAGAGTAGGGTATAGCATAGTATACATAGCACATACATATGTACCTTAATTTGACAGTTATTTAAATATTTGAGGTCAGCAGAATAGCTGCTATTCATTTAAAATATATAATTAATTATGTATATTTAGGCATTATTCCAAAAGATTTAAAATCTATGGAGATTCTTAGGCAACTCCCTGTTCTTAAAAATATTTTTGTTAGTTCAATTAAACTTTGCAAATTAAATTCAACACAAAGTATCTATTGGTTCGACCTCAGCTGTATAAATGTAAACAAAACCGGAAGTTGTTATTCACGCTGCTGCAGCGCCCCGAGGCTTCTCTGGTGCAACATGAAGACCCATCGCCTCCGATCTCCAATCCGATGACTCCGCCGCACTTGAGGCAAGTGCCATTGTTTAGACCGCTCCCGAATTGGGGCGCAAACAAATAAAGTATTCGTGAAATGTGCTTGGCACGCAGCTGGAATCATTACTGTGCCACCCTCCGCCCAACCAGCCACCCACCCACTCGCACACACAAACACACCCCACAGCAACGGATTCGGCGCAGTTAACGAACCCAACGACGAGTCCAAACGACAATAACCGAGTTCTCGCTCGACACGAACTCTGAAGAGGGGCATCCTGCCCAGAATCCGGCAATCCGCAGTGCATGTCGCAAGTTTGATGCAGTTGCCACGCCACGTGTCGCGCCCAACCTAAAACTCCCAATTGGGTTTTTTTTCGGGGCGGGTTTCCCGAGTCTTAGAACTCGGTTACTGGGTGAAAAAACAGTGCACGGCAACAGCAGCTGTGGCAACATCATCATCGCTGAGCGGCAACAATAACAGATACATCAGATACATCGGGCGTTGCATTTCGTGTCAAAAGTTCAGCAACAGTAGTCGATTTTATATACAATCCGAAATATATATACATCTGCTTTCGATCCGCCTCAGTATTTACACGGTAATGTAGGTCAGAAACAACAAATGGACATCAATTCACCTTCGCGACTGGAGAAGAAAATTCAATTAAAAGTGAAAAGCTGGCGATTGCATTCGCATTCGCATCTCTTGGATAATCGTCGAGAAATTACGGCCATCGAACGGATGGGCCAAAAGGTGCCAGTGGAAAGTGTTTAATCGATAGTGAAAAGCGCCAAAGTGAAAATCAACTGTCACTGCCTTGCAGCATTTGCGATAGTGGTCGAGCCCAGGAGTCATCGCATCCCTTGGTGTGACTCACCACCCAGCACCCTTAACTCGTCCTCGAACGCGAACTTCAACTCCTCATCCTCTTCGCGAGAGTGGCCCAGTGTTCGCTCCAGTGCATTGCACTGCAATTAACCTATTAAGTTCGGAGTTGTTGGCCACAAAATGGATTTCTATGTCAACAACAAAGAGATGCACTCGGCCAGCACCGGTGAGTTCAATTAACTTGGTTTAATTGACCAACAATCTTATCGCCAGACATAATTATTCTATTTAAAGATTGCATTTGTTCAAGTGCAAAAGAGTAACCTAACAATTGAAACAATTGCTAGGGGAAAGAATTAAGGGAATTTGCAACTCTGATAGTGACGGCTGTTTGCTTAGATAAAGAGTACAATCTTCGATATTGAATATCTGCATATCGGTCATTGTTTTATTACTTTTTCGTTTATCTCCATTGAACCTTTAATCTTGATCAGTTCAGTGCCTTTTGTCATTGCTTGCCGCTTATTATTAATTCTAAAATAAAGCCTGACGAATGCACACGATTCAGTTAATGAAAACAAACAGGCAGGAAAACTGTGCGCAAGTTTTCCAAAAGCAAAGAAAATTACAATAATAAATCGCTGGCACGCAACATTTTGTTGTTCATGTTTATTATTGTTTCTTTTATTTTTTCGTTGGTTCTTGTTGTTCAAGCGGAAGAGGGCGAGACGGTAAACATAGTAAGCGATGATATCACACCCACCAGTGCCCACTTTCCTGCCGCTTTTCACTCACCTCCCCCAAGTAAACACTGTCTATTCCATTCCTTTCGAGAAAATCACACAGAGGCGTCGGCTTAGCTTTTGGCTAATTGCTATTCGGACCTGGCTTTGGCTTTGAGTTTGTTCTTGGGTTTGGGTCGAAAGGTTTGGCGGGGTCATTGCATGTGCTCGGATTACGTATACGCACCGTGGGCCCTGGCCAAGTAAGCCTGTTAGCTGCAGCAGGTAGCCTCCTGGGCTGCACTTCATCATTTACGGAGCACAAAAGGCTCGCTTCGTTGGCAACGGCGGCTTCACATTTCATAAGCTTCTTGAACATGACTTGTTTGTTTCTCGAATACCCTCTATCCCCACCGTACCGTCTCTTGACGGTGTTCTTGATTTTCCACACCTTCTACTACTGCCGCTTCTACCTTTGCTTCTGCCTCTTGGCCATTGTCAGTGTCGCCTTGAAGCATTTCCTTCATCGTCATCAAGTCATTTGCCGCTTCCACACTTGGTGTGCCTCGGTCTGCACTCTAAGAAAAAAGATGTCTTAAAAGCGAGAATTAAATTGATTTTACAACAATTTTTAGTACGAGATAGGTTTATGAATTGAGTTCCTATGAAATTGCAATTAATTGGAAATTATTCTTGACTTAAGAACAATTTTCTTCAGAGTGTTGTCTTCAGGGCTGAGTGGTATCTTCAGATGGGAATCTGGGAGACAGGGGCATGCATTTTCATGCCTGTAATCTGCAAGAATGTTGCCCGGCCAGTTCTTCTGCCTCCCATAAACGGCAATCAAACGCTGGCTTCTTCTCCAGACCCCCATCCCTTGGGTCCTAGGCAAGTTCCCTTGTTTTTTTTTTTTTTTTTCGCTTTGCATGCTGCATGAGTGTGGCTTTTTTGCACAATTTGTAATTTATGCCGCCATCTCATGCTTGCAACGGATTCAAGTGGCCCAGACGAATGCAAAGGCAGAAAACTAAAGACTGAAGACTGAAGACCGGAGAAGGCGACAACGTGGCCGTGATTGTGGCTGTCTTGGAGATACACATGAGTAGACGACGAACTGCACTGCATGTGGTTCGCACCCCTCTTTTGCCAAGAAAATCTTTATTTTTTTTGCTCAGCGCATAATCAAGATTATGTTAAATTGTCTGGGTAATTGTTGTTAATTCGCCCCGGGCACATTATAAAGCGATTTCAACCATATGGCCGGGGGTTAAGCTCCGCTTTCTATCCACAAAACTGGGCTAATTATGATGGATACATTGCAGCCCATAAATTGTTTACAACGCTTCGATAAGTGGCAAGCCATTGAGATTGAAGTTTCATTAAATTGGTCTAAGAGGCGCCCTCCTTCTAAGCTGCATAAGCAAAGAAAAGTCAAGCCAAGAAAAGTCCCTGCATCGTGAGTCACAACATTTCTGGTTTGCTCTATTTCCCTAAAGCAAATTATCTGTCGTGTCCCAAATTGGTTTATTTAGATTAGAATTCAAATGTAGTTTTCCTATGAGTCAACATTTGATGTCAGGGTTTGGGTGAAAATGTCTTAAGGGAAATCTACTTCCTTGATTTTTAATTCTAGGAATATAGTTAATATAAATTCCCTTAATAAGTACTACCATTTACTGTTTTTTAAACTGATAAGCTAGCTTACTTGGACGGAGAATTCTAAGAAACTGCAGGAGATATCACTAACTTGCTTTCAGAACGTCAACGGAATAATCTTGATTTCACACTTAAATATAAATTAAACTATGAAACTTTCACATAACATATATAATTTTAGGTCAAACAAACCTTATTTAACAAATTTTATTTAAGTACAAGCATTTACAATAAATAAAAGGTATTATTTTAACTTTAACCGTAAAATCAGGAGACACTTTGGCTGAAAAGTGGAAAATTAAATGTCAAAAATCTTTAGATTGAGAATTCAAAAGATGTACATACATACAAGGAAATACAGTTTACAAAACAATATCCTATAATCCACAACTGTTTTGTGTAAATCTGTCTCTGCTAAACGGTTTTAAATTGACATCCATAATTGCAAATCTATTAACAGACACCCCCGCACACACACACACTCACACACTAATAGCAGCATCTGAGCTTCATCAGAATAGCAGTCATTGTTCCTATTCCTCGCTCTTTCGCTGCTCCACCATCTGTGGAGCTTCTCACCCGCCAAAACAAAAGTCACACGAACTGAAACTGACTCATTTGGCGAAACAAAATAAGGCTTAACAATCATTTAATAATTTAGCACTTTGTGGCAAATTTATCTTGATGAATGCGCGGGAGAGGAGGCAAATACTATACCAACTGGGATCCAACAGAAATGTCATTGTTCTCCGGCACAGCTCCCCTAAAATTTGAGAGCATTTTGTCGTAATAACACACACACACAGAAGCAAGACTCAAATGCAGTGCTCATCTCAGCCATATAGAGAGCGAGAGCGGGGGAAAAGGGCATGCACTATTAACCTAGCGAGAGCTGAGTAAATGGATTTCACCTTGACGCTCTCGCTAAAACAATAATTCCAACGTCACAGTCTCGGGCTACCGAAATTGGATATGGGGCCAAAGGGGGGATGGGGGGCGAAGCTCCAGATGTAGCTGTAAACGAGAGCTTGCGGTTTTTACATTCGCATTCATTCGAATGATGCCGGACTGGGAGGGAGGTGTTTAGCGAATCGCATAACAAGGCCGCACACCTACGTGGATTTGGATAAACGCACAACTGCGGTCAAAGCCATAGCACTTTTAGTAAATACAATTTAAACTAAATTAAGTACACGTCGAATACAAGAAACGGATGGAAAGACACACTTACAACTTTACAAGCTTCTGACTAAAATTATAAACCCTGGAAGGGTATTTATACCCTTTCTTGCCACTTTCCAAAACATTGCCTACTTATTGGCGAAGTCGTAGAGTTAATATTTATAAAACAAATTAAACATTCAAATACTCTTTTGGTAATTAATACTACGTTTTTAATTCTTCTTAAATAAGGCAATCTTTTAAAAGCTGCTTTTTTATTTTATATACATTGCTATTACCTTGACCGCCAACGTGCTTTTGGGGCTTATCAACTGCTCTACACACACACACTAAGTCCATGAGTCAGAAGACAGTAGGCAGAAGGCAGTGCATGACCAGGAAAGGTAACCACTGAATAGACATAAACGAAAGGCGAAAGAAGCAGACACAGACGAAAAACAGAAACTGCCACAGCGACACCAGCTAGAGAACAATGGGTGCGAGAGAGAGTGACTAGTACCAGTTTTTTTTTGGGATTGAGAGCCAGAGAGCGTAGAGAGAGGGAGTCACAGGTAGACTGGCGATAAAACACCGGCATCGCACCGGTGGAGTGGCCCTAATGACTCCGACTTTGTGCGAGAGAGTACACAACGATCGCCTCCACTCATTCGCCTTTTCACACTCGAGCAGCACGGAGCGTTCCCGATTCTCGGTTCTCGGTTGTCTCAGTGTTGGTAGTACGACGAGGTAGATAAGATTTTTCGCAGTGATACTGTCCCGCCGCCATACGGTGTGTGTTTTACCTGACAAAATAAATGTAAATCTAACCGTATTCCATTAATTGATCTAATTCGCGTTTTTCCCTGTTTCATTCGCCTTCGCAGTGCGCAAGATGTTGGAGGACACCCAACTGGTGTGGGTGCGAGATGCCGGTGAGGGCTACATACAGGGCCGGATCACGGAGATCGGCGCCAAGGAGTTCGAGGTAACGCCAACCGACCGGAAGTATCCCAAACGCACGTGTCACTACGATGACATTCACTCCTCGTGCGACGGACCCCAGGATCACGATGATAATTGTAAGTATTACCCTTGGGGGGCTTCCCGGATTCCAAAGAAATCTTTGGGAATAAAAACAGACCCGATAAAGCCTTTGCTTTGGGTGCCTTATCTGGTCGATAGAACTTCTTATATAAAAGTAATTATAGAAAGTGAAAGCACCAGATCTTGCAATTGTGAAATTTCCGAAAACGAATTTCCCATATACCAAAGTATTACATAGGGATGTAATTTAATCTAGACTTCACTTAATAATATTCTAATTAAGACCGGAGTTAAGTTAGACCGGAGTTTAATTAAAATCTTTAGAAAGCGAGAAAAGTTCAATTGGTTCAGTAGGTTAAAAATAAAATAATTGAGTGCTCGTGATCTTAAAAATATATCCAAAATTGGAATGTTTATATGACTCTAGTAGATAGCGATGTTATTTATCAACCAGATAAGATCGCTTTGACGTAAACGCTGTCGCATATTTAGAGCAACACTTCTCAGTGCATTAACTTCAAATTGAGCGTAAGATCTACTCTCTTTTAAAATGATCCATTTCGAAGGGAGTGAAGTGAGGCAATCGTTAGCCACGCTTGCTTACCTGACCCCCAAACCCGCCAGACGGGTGAAAGTGGTCGGGGGGTTGCGGGCCATAAAACCCCGAAACCATTTCAGATGTATTACTAACCCAGATGATTTTATGTTCCAGGCGAACTTATGCTGCTCAACGAGGCCACATTTCTGGACAATCTGAAAACACGTTACTACAAAGACAAGATCTACGTGAGTAATCCAGGTTATAATTAAATAAACCGGAATTAAGAAAGGCTTCTTACGTTGCAGACGTATGTGGCCAACATATTAATCGCCGTGAATCCGTATCGTGAGATCAAGGAGCTCTACGCACCCGATACCATCAAGAAGTACAATGGCCGTTCTTTGGGTGAACTGCCTCCTCATGTCTTTGCAATTGGTGAGTTTTATATACCTTTGTATAATCCTTGAAAATATTAAACAAACAATTTACATTTCTACCAACAGCGGATAAAGCCATACGGGATATGCGAGTCTACAAGTTGTCGCAATCGATCATCGTTTCCGGAGAGTCGGGTGCCGGCAAGACAGAGTCCACCAAATACCTGCTAAAATATTTGTGCTACTCGCACGATAGCGCCGGCCCCATAGAGACCAAGATATTGGATGGTATGATTCATATTGTGGGAGGGTTTAAAAATAATACAACTGCTTAGTAACTAAAAGGTTTCATTTATGTTTATCATTCCATTCCAATTGTTTATGGAGCTTCTTGATATAAACAAAATAATTAACAAGTATAATTTTCTTCCCCAGCTAACCCTGTGCTAGAGGCCTTTGGAAATGCGAAAACCACCCGCAACAATAACTCGTCTCGTTTCGGAAAGTTCATTGAGGTGCACTACGATGCCAAGTGCCAGGTGGTCGGTGGTTATATATCCCACTATCTGCTTGAAAAGAGTCGTATCTGCACTCAGAGCACCGAGGAGAGAAACTACCATGTGTTCTACATGCTCCTAGCCGGAGCACCGCAGCAGCTGCGCGATAAACTCAGCTTGGGCAAGCCGGACGACTATCGGGTTCGTATATATATTTTTCTTGAAATCATATCTTTTCTCATGGATACATTTCCTTTTTCAGTATCTCTCTGGGTGCACTCAGTACTTTACCAATGCCAAAACTGAACAGCTGATACCGGGCTCACAAAAGTCCAAGAATCACCAGCAGAAGGGCCCGCTCAAGGATCCAATTATCGATGATTACCAGCACTTCCAGAACCTGGACAAGGCCTTGGGCCGGCTTGGTCTCTCAGATTCCGAGAAGCTGGGTATCTACTCCCTGGTGGCGGCTGTGCTCCATCTGGGCAATATTGCCTTCGAGGAAATACCAGACGATGTGCGTGGCGGATGCCAGGTGTCGGAGGCTTCGGAGCATTCACTGACCATCACCAGCGGACTGTTGGGCGTTGACCAAACGGAGCTGCGTACAGCTTTGGTGTCGCGTGTGATGCAGAGCAAAGGAGGTGGCTTCAAGGGCACGGTTATTATGTAAGAATTGGGTAAAGCTTTGAAAACTGACAAAACTTAACAACTTTTCGATCATGCAGGGTTCCTCTGAAGATCTACGAGGCGAGCAATGCTCGGGATGCATTGGCAAAGGCCATCTACAGTCGCCTCTTCGACCGCATCGTGGGCCTGATCAATCAGAGCATTCCCTTCCAGGTCTCTAACTTCTACATCGGCGTACTCGACATTGCTGGTTTTGAGTATTTCACGGTGAACTCGTTTGAGCAGTTCTGCATTAATTACTGCAACGAGAAGCTGCAGAAATTCTTCAACGATAATATCCTGAAGAACGAGCAGGAGCTGTACAAGCGTGAGGGACTCAACGTTCCGGAGATTACATTTACCGATAACCAGGACATCATCGAGCTGATCGAGGCCAAGTCGAATGGCATCTTCACGCTGCTCGATGAGGAGTCTAAACTGCCGAAGCCCTCGCCCTGTCACTTCACCGCCGAAGTGCACAAGTCCTGGGCGAACCACTATCGTCTGGGCCTGCCACGATCCTCGCGCCTGAAAGCCCACCGTACTTTGCGGGATGAGGAGGGTTTCCTGGTGCGCCACTTTGCCGGAGCCGTTTGCTACAACACGGAGCAATTCATCGAGAAGAACAACGACGCCTTGCACGCCTCTCTAGAGGGCTTGGTGCAGGAAAGCGAGAACCCCCTGCTGCAGACCCTTTTCCCCTCGGGCAGCAGCACCTCGGTTCGTGGCAAGCTCAACTTTATCTCCGTGGGCTCCAAGTTCAAGACGCAGCTGGGCGAGCTGATGGAAAAACTGGAACAGAATGTGAGTGCAATAGTCAAGCTAACCTTATAAGTAAAAGGATTTGAAGTGCGTGCATTTCCTTTCAGGGCACCAATTTCATTCGATGCATCAAGCCCAACAGCAAAATGATTGACCGTCAGTTCGAGGGCAGTCTGGCGCTGGCTCAGCTCAAATGCTCGGGCACCATTTCGGTCCTGGAACTCATGGAGCATGGCTTTCCCTCGCGAGTGCTTTTCGCTGATCTGTATAGCATGTACAAGTCGGTGCTGCCGCCAGAGCTGGTTTCTCTGCCGGCTCGCACCTTCTGCGAGGCCATGTTCCAATCGCTCAACCTGAGCGCCAAGGATTTCAAGTTTGGCATTACCAAGGTCTTCTTCCGGCCTGGCAAGTTTGTGGAATTTGATCGCATCATGCGCTCGGACCCAGAGAACATGCTTGCCATTGTGGCTAAGGTCAAGAAATGGCTGATTCGTTCCCGTTGGGTCAAGTCGGCCCTGGGAGCCCTCTGCGTAATCAAGTGTAAGTATAAACAACTCTTAAATGATGTAAGATCTAAAGAGTTTATCTTTTTGCTTTGCAGTACGCAATCGAATCCTGTACCGCAACAAGTGTGTCCTGGTGGCCCAGCGTATTGCTCGTGGATTTTTGGCCCGCAAGCAGCACCGCCCACGCTACCAGGGTATTAGTAAGATCAACAAGATCCGAACGAATACGTTGAAAACCATCGAAATAGCCAGCGGTCTGAAAATGGGGCGCGATGAGATCGTTGGCGGAGTCAATGAGATCTACAAGCAGATCGACGACGCCATCAAAAAGATCAAGGTGAGTGATGCTTAGACTCAATTCCCTGTTTCTTGCTAATCCTGTATGTCATCCAGATGAATCCGCGCATAACTCAACGGGAAATGGATTCCATGTACACGGTGGTAATGGCCAATATGAACAAGCTCACCGTCGATCTAAACACCAAGCTAAAGGAGCAACAGCAGGCCGAGGAGCAAGAACGTCTGCGTAAGATCCAAGAGGCCCTCGAAGCTGAGCGGGCTGCCAAGGAGGCAGAAGAGCAGCGACTACGCGAAGAAGCCGAGAACAAACGACTGTGGGTAGTGAGTAGGAGTTACTCCTAAACCCCAATTATATCGTTTTTCTTTTATTTATTTTTCAGCAAAGCGGAAATGGAAACTCGCCGCAAGGCAGCGGAAGCCCAACGCCTGCGCCAGGAGGAAGAGGATCGACGTGCTGCCTTGGCTCTGCAGGAGCAGCTGGAAAGAGAGGCCAAGGACGATGCCAAGTACAGACAGCAGCTCGAGCAGGAGCGACGCGATCACGAGTTGGCCATGCGATTGGCCAATGAGTCCAACGGTCAGGTGGAGGATAGTCCGCCAGTTATACGCAAGTATGTTATAAGATCTCCAAAAGCATGGACGTGTCGGGGTTTTAACTATTTTAAAGAGGTTCGGTGCAGGCATGAAATAGAGGTATTATTATTATTATTGTAGCGGTCCGATATTTTGACAATATTCTGTTAAATGTAATATTTTAAAATAGCTAGAAATAATTATAAAATGTTATTTTTGTATATATATGGTTTGAAACGTTGAAACGTTAAAGAAAGGGGGATTTGATATTTGTTAAAGATAATTCAGACATTTTTATATGTTTACATTAGGTTGTGACAAAGTTTTACTGTAAATATTTTGAATATGCCCTCGAATATATTTTAAGATTTGAACAATTTTGTTTATATACTCACAAAATTTTTCCCTTTCCCCTTACACGCAATCTACTCGACACTATCCACAACAAACCACATCCCACCACAACACCACACACTCCAACCCAATGATCACAACACAGTGGTGTCAATGACGCGTCTCCCATGGGTTCCAACAAGCTGATCAGGTATAGCACGCTTTATGATTTACCTATGTCTACAGATCTTGTAAACTTCGTATACTTTTTCTTGCTTTCTTCAAAAACTAATTGGAATACGACTTACCAAACAAAAAACACTAAATTTATTTACCTTCTATAACTTTTCAACTTTCTGTATATTTTTGAAAAAGTTTTTCACAAGTTGTGTCAAACATTGCTTCGCGGTACTTAAATAAGTGAGTTGGTGCTGGTTTTGAAATCATTTCGTACTAACAAATTTACTAACACCTAAAGTAATTTGCTCATTCCCACTAATCCAAAGCATATGTAATATACTTACTACTTAGAACTCCTATTGGCCTTTAGTAGTTGAATCTTTCAAATCTTTTCTGTATCCTGTCACTATGAACATTTGATGCCATCAATGACTCACTTTTTTGGCTTGCGCTAAGAAATATGTCTAAAATGTGGGTTTTACTGAGGTTCTAATTAAATATTTCCCTGTCCCTCCCTGTGCCAGATCGGAGAATGTTCGGGCCCAGCAGCAGGCTTTGGGCAAGCAGAAGTACGACTTGTCCAAATGGAAGTACTCGGAGCTGCGTGATGCTATCAACACGTCCTGTGATATTGAGCTGCTAGAGGTGAGTTTCAAGGCGGAAATTTAAAGACTAAGGGATCACATCATTATATAATAAAATATGTATTACGTTTCAGGCCTGCCGCCAGGAGTTCCATCGCCGCTTGAAGGTGTATCACGCCTGGAAGGCAAAGAACCGCAAGCGCACCACCATGGACGAGAATGAGCGCGCTCCACGCAGTGTCATGGAAGCTGGTAGGTGTTAAGATTAATATTCAACATTAAGATTTAATTAAATTTAAATTAAACCAATAATCCAATTCGCAGCCTTTAAGCAGCCGCCCATTGTCCAGCCTATTCAAGAGATTGTGACGGCCCAGCACCGATACTTCCGGATTCCCTTCATGCGCGCCAATGCACCGGACAACAGTGAGTGCCCTAGTATCCCTGTAGAGCCTCAGTAAAAATAATAATTTATTGTTAACAGCCAAACGCGGTCTGTGGTATGCTCACTTTGATGGTCAGTGGATTGCTCGGCAGATGGAGCTGCATGCGGACAAGCCGCCCATTTTGCTGGTGGCCGGCACGGACGACATGCAGATGTGCGAGCTTAGCCTGGAGGAGACGGGACTGACGCGCAAGCGCGGCGCTGAGATCCTGGAGCATGAGTTTAACCGCGAATGGGAGCGCAACGGGGGCAAGGCCTACAAGAATCTGGGTGCTAAGCCAAATGGGCAAGCAGCTGGCATGCAGAAGCAGCAATAAGGACGCACCACTTGGAAAGGCCAGGGCAGTAATCAAAGGTTGCCATTTCGGTGGGCAACAGGTCTAAATTTATGGCTATCAAAATTCCAAATTAAGTTTTATCGGAAGACAAATTTTACTGAAAGTGATCACGTCCATAAAAATCATTTAGTGAAATATATCTTTTATTATAAATGTCGAGCTTTCAATTGTTTTGCCTCGGTTTCATTCAATGTTGGCTTACTCGCTCATTCAGCGCCCGGACTTTTGTGGGGGCCTTATATATGTAGCTATACAAATATATTCTCTGATTAAGTAAATCTTATGATGTAAAAGGAAACGGAAAGTTGTATTTAGTATTTAATGAAGTACCATTAAATTGTGTATTTAGTTCACTGAGATGTGTTTACATAATTGAATATAAATACAAATATATATTTTACAGTATTTTAAAAATAAATATATAAATAAAACAATTGTAAAAGGTTTAATTATTCCTTGAAAGTGTACATTGTTTTGGAGTGTTTAAACTGTTACGTTTAAAGCAGTGTGTGCGGTGAAAGCAGTGCACAATTTCACGTGACCTAGCAAAGTTTCCTACCTTTGAAATTGGCGCTGCCTAGTCTGTTTACCACCCGTAGTTTTCTAATAATTTGCGGAGTGTCCAATTTTCTTAAAAGTAATTTTTTTATGATCATTTAAAAAAATGGTTAGTGGCCAGTGCATTAATTTAACATTAATAAATGATCATATTAAATAATTTTGATGAATGACTCCGTATATATTAATAAATTACGATCTATTTTGGTTACGATCTTTTTCCAGGGGAGTGGTAGCTTTATTCTTTTTAGCCGCTTGATCGTTTTGGTGTGACCAGCTGCCGAAAAACGGAATATCTTGTTTTCTTACGCTACTTTCAACCTAATTGGCGAAAAGCCAGACGGACACACTACACTTTCCTAGCAATATTAAAAATAATAAATAAGAAAGAAACAATAAAATATTCGCAAACAAAGGGCCTGCCTGTACTTGGACCTGGACCAGTAAATGAGAAAGAGTGAGAGCACCACCTGCAACGCGAGACAATTGGACTCCCCAGTTAACCGAACTTTCTTAGTTGTAGCTGGATGCGTCAGTTGGAGCTCTTTAAATAGTGAAATCGGCCCCCGCTCCTGTCCTTCCACCGGTCCACACGAGCGGCGTTATCAAGATGAGCATGCGCACACGTGCCTTGGTGTTTTCCACTTTCTTCGGCAGCTGCTTGGCCATCGGCCTGCTGCTGGTGAGCATGACTACTAACCACTGGGTTAGGGCCACTACGCGGCGGAACAACTCGACGGAAGCCAACGGCGAGGTTAACTTCGGGCTCTTCAATGGCAATCATGATCTGAACTTTGGAGTTGGCGTGCGGAGTAATCCGTTTAATGGTGAGCTCCCAATATAATGATTCAGGGAAGACTTATTAAGCTTTTTAAATCTGCAGTCTACACCTTCGTACGCACGGAGAACGGTGAACCCAGCTTCTGGCTATGGCTCCTCACCACCCTGGGCACGGGATTTGGCCTCTTGGCCTGCGCCGTGGCAGCCATCGCCGCGGTCTTGAAGTCAGCCTCTGCGGCTAAGAGGGGCGGTACCATGGCGCTGCTCCTAGTCGCCAATGTATCGGCAGCTGGGGCCCAGGTTGTTGCTTTTGTCTCCTGGCTGGTGCAGTTCTATCAGTACTTTATCCACAATGTATTGATGACCGAGCACCAGCAGCAGCACTGGTACAGCACCGGACTCGCCTATCTGGGCTACAGCTTCTACTTGGTGGTGATCTCAACGATTGTGGTTATGCTCAACATCATCGTTCTACTGTACGCCAAGCGGCGAGAGCTTCACGACCGCCGGCGCCTGGACCCGCCGAGTGAGGACAAAAATCAGGCCGGCATAATGCTGTACTAGGATGGAAGGACCCTAACTGAACCTCAAGAAGAAGAAAAAGAAGAAGAAGTAATCTCAGCGGCTCAAACGATTGTGCCTTACTTAAGGATGCCTTTTGCTTGCCAACAACAAGGCCCATTTAAATATTTTACTCCACCCCAGGACCTAAGGGAACATTTGTCTAGATTAGTATAAAAACCTAAGTATTTGAAAGTCTGTCTCACGACTGAAGAGCATTTCAGCTGCAGGGTCAACCTGTGGAACAAAGCGCACGAAACTGTCCGCACCAATCAATATTTATATTATCTATATACTCGAATGACCTTTATATATACACTCATACATATATATTTATACACTGATTTCTCTACCTTGTATGGACTGCCAACGGCAGCCAAGTATTTTTATGTGCATATTTTCGAATACAGAAACAGTCATTGTTAAGAAACAGAAAAACGTAGGCACTTTGTCTACTAATTGATTCATCAGATCGGGCTTTTTACGACAGCCTCCCAGGGGAAGGGACTGCAGTAGCACACGCTACGTTCGCTCGCCGCGGGGCAACTTCCTCATGGTGATCCGTTCGACTCCAGGAACGAGTCAATTAAAAAAAAGAAAGCAGCCTGTGTGGCAGCGTCTTGATGAATTACCCAAGAATCTTTGGCCTTTTCTCCTGGCCCAAAATGTCACAACATTTCTCCAAATGCAATTACAGTGTTCCGGCTAAATGCCTCGAAGAATCAGGATCGAAAGACCGGATCAGGAACAGGACCACACGGCGTGCGCAAAATCCAAGTGTCATCGCATTGAATTTCGCAAAGAAATCAATTATCTTTTTTACCTCAAGGCATACATAGTCGTTGTTGTGAGCGCCTCTGACGGATGGATGTTTCCTTTTTGGGACAAAGGACAATTTGTGTGGCTTTGTAGGGCACTTCCTTTGGAAGGCAGCCCCTGCCTGGACCCACACAGGACTCGGCACCTTCCGCTGTCCGCTGCCAATCGAGCCAATTATGTCATCATTAGTTTTGATTAGTTTGCTCAGGGCTCATGTTGATGGGAAAACGGCCGGGCACTTCCGGCACCACCTACTGTTCGTCCTTTTGGGCTCGCTGCCCCGCTGGGCGATGGCTATGATCCTCGGGTGTTGTTTATGTTGGTGTGTTTGGTTTAATTTTACTGCAAATTGCGCAATAATGATGAACGTGTTTTTGATTGATCTCCCATTGCGGGCTAATGAAGAAATCAGATTGCGTTGCAGTCACCGATCGTTCTCGTCGTATGGTTTATCTTGGCAAACAGCTTAGGGCCATGTGTGCGGACTTTGGGCAAACCAAATGACGTTTCCTTCACTTCCACTTCTACACACAGACACCCACACCCACTAACCTTATCCTGTCCTCGCTGGAAAGCATTATGCAAGATGCGGCGTCAGGATTAGACCACAAATTGCGTATATATTTAGGCAGCGATAACGCTGGGATAAGGCTCATTAGGTCCCGAGTCCGGTCGAGATTAGGCTGCGGACAATCGACTTATTAAGAGTGTTTATGCAGATAAACTCATCGTTTAGCGGGTGTCGGGACATACCCATTTTTCCGCCTAGGATTTGCCGACAGACCCCTGGAAAACACGAGCGCAAACCGCCAAAGCCGAAGGATCGCAAGGATGAGCGCCGAAACTGGAAATCATGTGCAACACACCGATGCTGCCGGAAAATGTCTGGACGTACTTACATCTAGAAAAAACAATTACCTAAAAAGACAAAGGAAAATTCCCTATTAATGCTTTCAAGGAATTGATGTCCTATATTTTAAGGAAACGTATTTATTTTGTAGTTCACTTAATGGATAAATACTTGAAACCTTTAGAATGTCTCTTAATAAATGCAACTAAACCTGATTACAGATTGATTTCCATGAGCTTCTATTTGTTTTTTATAAAAACAAAACATACTTCAATAGTTTTTAACGGTTAGCTTTAAGTCATGAAAATTACATTTGAAATACGGATAATCAATTCACAGAAATTATTTAGTACAATCCGTTTTAGCACTCATTCGATAAGGCATTAATAATAATTTCTTTTCTGAGTGTAATTATGTGGAATGTGCTCTAATCGAACCCAAATACCTATCAATAGAAATTTGTTACGAAGCCACCCAAGTTGAGAGCCTCGAACTACATGGAATTGGGCCACCTGACTCGGTTTGAATCCGCTTGTTTACACGAATTTGTCTTTTTTGGGTTTTTTATGGAGCATTCCCGTTCCTAATCTCGGTTGGAATCTATCGGGATTCATTGTGAAAGCATTTCCAGCAACCGCAGAACATATAGTCCGAAAGAAAGCCAACAAGAGGGCCAGACAGACTGTCTCCTATTCTTGCGTGGCTGTTGCTCCTGCCGGCCAATAAATTTCCCAATTAAATGGATCCTCTGACACTTTGTGTGGAAGGACAGCTACTACCCCCCGCCAGCTCGCTCCCATTCATCCCCTGCGCGCTGTGCGCGAATAAGGGATGAGGGTTGTTCGCTGAGGGGTTGAAAAAGTCATCACAACAGGCACATAGCCAGAGTCAGAGGCACTGGCACTGTCTTGGCCCAGAACTGGCGCTGTGAAAGGTAGCTGGACCCGTTTTGCCACGGTGACTCCATTTTTTATTTCTGCTCTCACTCGTTGCTCATTTCGCTCCCTTCTGGGTTTGGATTTGGGTTTGGGTTTTGTTTTTTGGGTTTTTGCACTGCTCTTGGCTAGATTGTAACACTGCGAAATTATGGCCCGTATATTTCTCTATTAGTGGCACAAAAGACATTTCAATTTCTCACTCTGGGTGGGCCTCCGGAGGTGCTGCTGCCAAGAAAGTGGTCCTGGTCGAGTCCTGGCAATTATCTCGTTGCGAAATTCCTGGGGACCACCCGACGACTGTTGTTTGGCCTCTTTGTGGTCATGAATGGCTGATGGGCCAGTGCCTCCTACGTGGCAATTGTTCCACGGTGTCAGTGGGTTATTGATTGCGAAACTACTTTCTTGTTAGGAAGTAACTTCTTTCTATTGCCAGATATTGTCTGCGAAACAATGCCCGTTTATACGGCCAAGTTTAATGCAATTTTGATACTTACTTCGGTTTCAATTATTACTTCTGGGAACTGATCGATCCCAGAGGCTGTGAACGAACGTATTATTTGCCAATTTGATGCTATACTGGATCGAAGGGGTCTTGAAGGAGGAGTCACATCGCTTTTTGGGTTATATTCCGAGGTATAATTTATTTCCAGATGGGAAAATTTGATCTATAATATCTATATATGAATATTTATTATAATTATTTGATTTAAGGTGTATTTTAAAACAATTATTTAAATTAAGGTTATATAGGTATTACAAAACTATCAGTTTGTAGGTTGTACGAATTATTTTAATTTTTCTCGGTTTTCACTTCAAGCTACAAAAAGACAAGAAGTTTACTATAATAAAGAATAATATCTTTCTTACCCTCAGCATCTTATATTATTACTTTACTTATTACTTTTATATTATTTCTTTGCTATATATTCCCAGAAAACACATTAATTTTATTATATTACATTAAATCTATTTATTATACACGGGGTATTATAATTTTAATCTAAAGCTTGTAACTTGTAAATAAGTCATTTCCGACCCTATAAATCATATATATTCTTGCTGATCAAGACAGCTGATTCGATCTAGCTATGTCCAGTCAAAAAAAAAATTTGGAAATTTTATCCAAAAAATTTAATTTTATAAAATTTTAAATTGAGTATGCAGATTTGTTAACCTAACAAAAACTAGAACAGGAATTCTTTCGGAATCGATTTTACTACATTTTTAGCTTAGTTATGATTTATTGAATCTGCAAGGATATTCAAACTTTGGCTTTCCGAAGATACAAATCTGGTTGAATATTCTTGTACTCATTTTATATTTATAGCACATACTTAAAAAAAATAATAGTAAGAAAAAACAATGCTATAATTTAATATTGTTAAGAAAAAGCTACAGCTACGATACCATGGACAATATAACATATAGGCTCTATACTTTTCCAGAACAATATTAACGATGTAACTCTTAGCAATATTTAATGGAAAGATTTGACTAATTTCCATATTTTTGTTAACTTAAAACTGATCCGTTCTTAATTTCCCTTTAAATTTGATGAAATTCTAACTTATAAAATATAATTAGGATACAGGACACAAGACGTACGGACAGATAAAATCTGCTTTTTAAGCCCTATTGTTTTCACTTTGAAACTTTTTTAAAACCATTTTTTAATCCTTAATTTGAAATAAAGGAATTTATTTACTTAAAGTCGAGAACAGATGATTCTTCCCCACAGTAATAAATTGGTGTATTGAAAAGAAAAGTGTTTATTCTTTAGCTTATTGCCAACCGATACTTCATCTATCCTCAGATGATGAAATATATATGGCATACAAGCATATATCATTGGGAATACACTCTGTATGGCCTTTGTCAATCAAACCGAAATAAAAGAAGAGTTTTTAATTAATTGCCAGCAATTACGCACGGATATATGTAGGTGCAATCACTTTGAGAAATGTGTATTTGAATTGGACTGCAGTCCGTGGGTCTCGAGTGCCTGACCAAGTGGCCTGAATTGGTTGGATGGCAGGGATACATTATAGATCATTGTGTCACTTGTGACGACGACGACGACGCACTGTCTGGCAGATAGGAAAGATATTCCCAGGCCCGTAGGGGACGACCAGGCAGAGGCAGGTAGGCGACAGGTAAATGTGAGAACTGCACGCCCCTATCAAGCGGCCGAATTTGCCATTGTCCTGGAAATTGGTTGCAACTCGGGTACTCTCAAAACTCTCGGATACCGGGCAACTGCCCACCGCTTTGCTACGGTTCCCTTTCCCGAAATCGTCCTCAGAAATTGCATCTATTGTCTATCAATAGCTGGAGTCACATTGATAGTGACCAGGGATCGATGGATCCAGGGATCGATCGCTTGTTCGCATAACAAATTCCAAAAAAATACTCGAATCCTGGCAGACTGTGTGTCTGGCATTGCTGAGGTGGGCCCACCTCCATTGTCCTTGTGAATGACGCAAGGCTGTCAGGTGAGTAATGGCAAGTCGACGTGGACAATTGCCCCGGTATCGGACTGTGGGAAACTATTGCCAAAGGATATCAATTCGCTCTGATGGCTGCTCCAGTTGGTTTCGATTTACGCATTAAGGGGGAAATAATCGTTTAAATGATTTGGATTTTGCAAGGGTTATTGTCTTATCCTGGCACTTTTATGAATGGCATTTTTGGCTACTTTTCACTCAAAAATGACTTGTGTATTTTAACCCTTTTGGAAATGCAATTTGCAGACTTTGACTTTGAATGCCACTTTACTTTGATATTTGCCGGCATGACGAGCAATTTGGCAAATGATCTGGTTAGCGGGAAGTGACAGGACCGTCGAAAGTCATTAATATGCAAACAAAATGGCTTCGGCTCATTATGTACTCCCAGGTATATATCTATTATGTCGTATTATGAACCATCATCTATGTCAGATGTTCAATTCATAATCCCATAATGGAGAAACCAACTCAAAGAAAGAAATTTGCTTAGGTGTTTCTTTTTTGTTTAGATTTTTTCGTGTATTTTTTGGTGGTGTAAACATAAATCGTATAATGCAAACTCTCAATATTTAACTACGATCGTTTATAAGCTAGATATAAATCGTATATTGCTAGTAACCGCGCTCTGCATATAAAAATATTAAAATATATATCGGCTTAGACCTAATATATAGAGTGTGTATGTATACATACACGGATGCGGTATCGCTTAATCTCTTAATCGCTTAGCATATGAGAAAGGATCACTTGAGGAGGAGGTATTTACACATGTGCGGGATCGGGATTCCTGAGTCACGTAGCTGGCAGTGTAAATATGCGTTAAAAAATAAATATCTCAATATTTGCATATATCGTCGAGGGTATCGCGGTATCTCAGTCCCTCCCAGTGCTGGTCGGGTGCGTGCGCCGGAGTGCGCCAGGTACGGCTGAGGTAGATCTGTCCAGGATTGGCTATCGAGTATAATTATTGGCCGGCATTCGTTGGGTTATGTCTTCGTCGAGGTTCGTGCGTATTTAAAGCGTGCAAGCGCTTCACAGATCGCTGGGGAGTTGGCGAGGATTCCAAGTCCGATGGCTTCAATAGCCATACAGATAGGGATACATGGGCACAAAGATGGCCGGTCCCAGCTGGCGTTCCTGCGGCATATGCGTCTTCATGTGCTTCTTGAGGTGGTCACGACGCCCGAACTTCTTGCCGCAGGCACTGCAAGGATAAGGCCTCAGACCGGTGTGGATGCGCTTGTGGCGGGTCAGCTCCTCGTTGCGGGTGAAGGTCTTGCCGCAGGTATCCACATCGCACTTGAAGGGGCGTTCGCCTGGAGAAAGAAAGGAGATGTGTAAGCACAACTGGTCATTGGATTTGAAGGATTTCTGTAAACTTACCGGTATGAATGCGGATGTGTCCCTTGAGCTGGCCATTGTTGGAGAAGGCCACGTCGCAGTGCGGGCACTTAAACTTCTTGGGGCGCTGTTTGCGGGCATTGAGCGCCTTCAGCTGAGCATCTTCGGCCATGACGCGGGCGTACTCCTGCTCCATCAAGCCCAATGTAAAGGGATCCATGCCAAAACCAGCGGCGGCGCTGGGAGTGTTAACAGCAGCAGCGGCTGCTGCGGCAGCGGCGGCATAATACAGATCGCTGGCAGCCGGCATGAACGGAGAGGTGGACGGAGCCTGGTGCTGCATCTGCGGAGGAGGCTGGGACACGGGGCAGGCGGCGGCGGAGGAGGATGAGGCAGACTGGGGAAAGATGGGCTGAGGCGCAGCATCCAGCAAGGGAGTGGAGGTGCGAGTGTAGCTGCTGTGGTTCAGTCCATCCTCGTAGCTGCTGCTCCGGCTGCGACTGTCCAAGCTGCTGCTGCTGCTGCTCGACGAGGACGATGAGGAGGTGTCACTGTCATGACCAAAGCTGCTGCTGGGCAGCTCCGTCTTGATGGTGATCTCGGGCTCCTGCTTCACCATCCTAGGTGCCGGAGCGGGCGTCTGGCGTTGCGTATCCCAGGGACGGAACAGGCGGGAGTAGGTTTGCGGTGGATGCAGGTTAATCGTGGACATGGCGATGATGTGGACTCTCTCTTTCACTTGGAACACTTGGAATCACTTGCGAATTGCGTTCGTTTTTGTTTTTTGGATTTTCGTTAGCGGAGCTGTGCGTGCGATGCGAGATCTCGACTCGAACTGAGCTCTCCTGCCCCGGCGGCTCTCAATTTAAGGGGATTCTCTTGAGGATTTCCAGAGCAGGCCTACCTAACGGCCTACCTACACACGCACACACTAGCACAATCGCTCGTCCTGCGCTCACGCACACCATACACACACACTCGCAGGCACCCGAGGTTCGTCGCTTCATTCATCGATTTGTTGTCTGTCTCTGCCACTGTGCGAGCGAGACGGAGTTGCCACGGGGTTGGTTTTCCTTTGCCCAACAATGGCGGCCACGCTCACGCACACACACACACGGAAGTACATAAGGGTGTTCCAGTGTATATGCAGAGTCCTGCGTAGTTTTCACAGCCAGCGAAATCGAAGTCCTTGCTTCCTTGTAACTTTCGCTTTCACACACCGAGCAAAAAAAGCTTGATTAACTTATAAGAAAAGGTATTAAATCCTATATCCTTAAGGTCCTGCGAGGTAAAAATTGTAGTTTAAGTGTTAATTATGAGCTATTTCTTAAGAAGAGGTCGCTTTGTAACCTTTTATTGTTATAAAAATGGTAAGGAATTCTTACTTTCCTGACAAAGTTCTTGGTATATCTATCAGGGTTTAGTATAAATTCCGAATCCCATTTTATCCTGACAAACATTTATTATGTTTACTATAAATATACTTAGGCATTATCTATGGGCAAAAAAAAAACATTAAAGAGCTAAATATTTAGAATCTTTCCAAGCAATCTCATAGAAATCCTTTACCATTTATTCCCTGACTTCCTGAAGCTTTATTTTTGCGAGTGTTTACGAGTTTCACCACCATTATGTACAATTCCCGACTATATTTATTCGAAATGGCGATCCCTGCGGGGTGGCTGTGGCTGCCGAATTGGGCGCAACTTTAAGTGAAGCATTCACGATTATGAATTTTACGCTTACCCACCGACAAACCCTCAGCGCCTCCCGGGCTGTTGGCAGTGGGCTTGGCATGCCTTAGCCTGGCTCCGGCCTGCTTTTCCATTTCCCCCCACCAGGTTCAGTTCGTCCTCCGGCAGATACAGATACCCGGGGCTAAATTCGTAACTCGGTTATCGGTGGGTTGGTTATCCTGGCACTGCTGCGGTGGCAATTTATTATTGAATTAAGTGCTTCTGTCGAGGGTGGTTGCCTTCAGCATTCCGCCTTCAGCCTTCAGCCTCCTGCCCCCATCCGCATCCGAGTATGCAAAGTGTGGGCCAAGGGATACACAAGGATACACAAGAAAGGAGCAGCAGAAGTTGTAGCAATTGCCTGGGGGCTTGACACTCGAGGGCTGGCGCAAAAGGTTTGAGCGTGTAGAATGGTCGCGGTACAGTTGGCCTTAGTTTTATCTTCTTTTTTTGGGGTCCTGCGATGCTGCTCCTGGCCAAGTTTACTGCCTTTGGTGGGCGTTTGCCCTGACGCGATTCGGGCTCCAGATTAATGGCGCAAGATACAACGCACAATGGAGGAATAAAGCGAATGGCCACAGGATTGTGCGTGGTTGTGTTCTATTTACATTTTTTAAATGCAGGAAATCGTACTTGGGAGTGTTGGGGTTTTTATGAAAACTTTATGATTTTCGGTATGTTTACAAGTAGTTATGTACTAGAGTATATAAGGTAGATTCTATTTATTAGACATGACAGGTTTTATCTTAGAGTTGTTGGTCTAGGAAGTCTGATTCCTTAATATAAACCAGTTCCCTAGTTGTAGCTTTCTAAAGACATAATTCTAAAGTCCTTGCTTGTCACAATAATATTAACTTTTTGTTATTATTTTCTACCGTTTTCATAATCTCTTTAAATGGGAAGAATTTTAAAATCCATTTTAATCTATATATATTCATGTCCCATTTTAAATGTAGAAAATAATCTTACTTTAAATGACAACAAATATGTAAATTATGATATTATTTAAGAACTATTAGTAAACATTAACTCAAGCTAAATATTTGTAAAATAAATACATTTTTACTAGTTGTTTTTGTCTCAAATTAAATCTGTTATTATTAATCTTATTTTTGTAATTATTTTGAATTAAGTACATATACCCTAGAAGCTTGCAATTGAATTATAGGATCGAATCGAAAATAGATTAAATGAATATTTATCGAGATTTTTATATGACAATTTATTCGACAAATCAAAGATTAAAAATCTCATAACTAAGCCAAAAATGTATTAATTTTAGTTCAAAAAGCGTTCCTATGTTAGTTTTTATAAGTTTAATAAATCTGCATACTCAATTTAAAATTTGTAAGAAATCAAAAATTTTGCATTTTTTGACAATTTTAATGATGTAACCCCTTATAAAATTTTTCAATTTTCGAAAATGTTGAAAAAATTAAATTTTGACCAGACATCTCTAAATCGATTCAGCTTTTGATTCTGATCAAGAATATATATGATATATAGGGTCGGAAATGACTTCTTTCATACGTTACAATCTTCTGAGTAAGATTATAATACCCTGCAGAGGTATAAACATATAGAAACCATAATAATTAGAAATTTTATATACTTAGAATTAGATAGCGATTAAATTCAAGTGAAAGCATTTGAATATTCACCTTTATTTCCTCTATACTTTCACTTCATCACACTTTCCTTGAGATGGCGGGAAACCGCTAAGCCTTTTGTCCTGTCATTTAAAACAAAAGGGAAATCAGTTGGATCAAGTCCATCGGCATTGTCCTAGCAACGCTAATGAATGCATCGCTTGGGTCATTGGTTACGTTGCCCCTGGCAGGTCTCTGCATTAGAAAGGTGCTCTGGAGTAGGTGGTTTTAGTACCTGCCATAAATCGTGGCCCGCGGAGCAGATTCATTCACGACTCGGCGCAGTCCGAGGGATTCATTCATAAATATCGGGATTGCCAAGAAATGCCTGCGATCTGGGTGGATCGATGGGTGGAATGCACGGATGCTGGGCTGGGCTAGGTACCTGGCGAGTTGGTCGTCGCCACAGCCGCCGCCGGCGGGTTGGGCCGAGGTGAGGACGGGCCATAAAAATCCACGAGCTTATTTGCGTAGGCTGGGACTTAGGCTTGCAGCCGCCTGGGACTTTCCCCCGATGCGATTCTTGAAGTAATGAGCGCTGGCCGGGAATTCCGTGCAATGGTCGCGGCTCGTAAACGGCAACCTACAACCACCTACCTAGACAATGCCGCACTCATAAACGGCAAGAAAGGAAGTTATAAAATAATTAGATATAGCAAAGCGGCGATTTCATTCATGGAATGTCGGCAGCGGCGCCGGCCGAGATGCCTGAACTGCATTGCCCCGTGCCTGAGCAATACCTGAGCCATGTGTAATTAGAGGAAATGCACACATCATCAGATAAGGAAGGGCGTCATATTCATATTTAGATTAATTAGGAAATTTTACTCTCGGAGTGGAACCACAACGTCTCTCACATCACACATGGGGAAAGTACGTGGCCTGTTGGGATAGGATAAGCAAGGACCCGAGGCGGCGACGTGATCAGGAAAAACACATCCATCTAACCATTCGACGATCCTAACCAAACTGCAATCTCATCGCCTTGTTTATCGTGCTCCTGGTCGCGGCCACAGATAAGCCAGCAGTTCCACGGACAAGCGCCAAGATTATGCCGATCCGAGATCAGATCAGGGCGAGCACATCCGGCTCTTCGGGGATAAGCACTCTTCAACTCGATCCCCGCTTATGATAGTGGATCACTCCACACGATGGACTAGGTGCGATCTTTATAGATCTTCTGTGATCAGGCATTAGACTTGCTAGATTACTAGAGCGCGCGGGTGTCCATTAGTTAAGGATCAACGGACTAGAATATATATTATACGTTTTTCCGATTTCACCTTATTGAAAAATAAGTCTTTAAATGCATATATTTCTTAATACCCTTGCAGAGGTTATTATCATTTTAATCAGTGAAAAAGTCATTTCCAACTCTATAAATCATATATATTCTTTATCAGCATTAACAGCTGAATCGATCTAGCTATGTCTGGTCAAAATTTAATTTTTTTTAATTTTTCGATAATTTCAAAATTTTATAAGGGGTTACATCATTAAAAATGTCGAAAATTGTCAAAAAATTCAATTTTCTTAAATTTTAAATTGAGTATGTTAATTTATTAATCTAACAAAAACTAGCATAGGAAAGCTATCCGAATCAAAATTGGTGCATTTTTGGCTTAGTTATAAGTATTTTAAGCTTTGTTTTGGTCACAAATTGATCAAAACTAAGAAAGATTTAAATATAGACTTAAACATAGAACATACATACAGAGCGATTCCTAATAAAAATTCCATTTAATCAATTATATAAAATGGAAAACGTAATGTTTATTGTCTTAGTTATAAATAATTCAATTCGGTCCCCTCATCCAATGGCTTCAAACTGCATATAAACTTTGGTTTCCCGAAATAAGCCGCATTTCTTATTTTATATTACATCTATTTAGTAAAATCTATATAATTATTATATTATTATTAAAATATTTCCCTTATTGTCTGCTCTAAAATTGCAATTACTTACGAAAGCCCCCAAAGTTGAAATCGGGCAGAAAAAAAAGCATGAAAAGGCGCTCGTTTTGGGCGTTCCAAGGGCAGCATTTCGCATCTGGATAAACTGTCCTTGTTATGGGTGTGAATGGCGGCTGGAAGGGAAACCACAGTCACATCATTCGGGCCACATCGCCACGCCATCAAGGGGCGGAGACGACACTCGAATACGAAGCATAAATCAAATTAGTTTTTCAGGCGAATGCACTCGACTAATTCCTGCGGCGAACGCGCCAAGATTGGGACGCGAATTCGACTATGGATGTGGTTGCTCTTTTTTGTCAGGAAGAGCTAACAGTGGCAGCCGCCTCACTGAAGAAAATCACTTTAATATT